ACACGGAAGGACGCAGCTGGACGAAGCGCCTTGCATCTGATATGCTCGTATGGGCAGAAACATCCTCGATTGGAAGTGGTGCAAGATAGCGGACGCTTTTTGATCCAAGACAAAACTACTGTTAATGGAATTGACACCCCGGAATATTTTAAGGCGGTGATGTTTTTGTTGGAGAAGTGTGACGTTTCCAAGGAGGATACACTCATGGAAATGACCCCATTACTGTACGCTCGAGAAAGTGAGAGTTTGGGTGCGGAAATGAAGATATTACAGACGCAGGAACTTTCTTTGAAGCAGACGCATAACAAACTTGACTCAATTAATATTTTGTACTACTCAGTTTTGCGTGGGTGTGACGATCTCCTCCAAGTATTTTTTTCCAAAGAAAAAGGTTCGATTAGTGAGGGTTTTGCACGTCGGCTTTTAATGATAGCGTGTAAAAAAGGGTACGACAAGATCGTCGAGTACTTGGTGACCTGTGGAGTAGAAGTCAACCGGTGTGATAAAAACGGTCGCACCCCTCTCCATGTAGCTTCTAGGAACGGTCACGAAAAAACAGTCCAATGCTTAGTAACACTGGGAGCTGAAGTCGACCTTTGTAACGAAGAGGGCAGGACGCCACTTTACATTGCGGCTTGCTACGGCTACAAAAGAACCGTGGAGGTGTTAGTGAAATCTGGGGCGGCAGTAAATCGTGCTGATAATTATGGCAGGACGCCACTCCTCCCGGCTGCGCTTTATGGCTATACAAAGACTGTGAAATGTTTAGTGGAATCCGGGGCCGAAATATCAAAACCAGATATGTATGGTCGGGTGCCACTTTACGTAGCTGCGGAATACGGGCACGAAAGGGTTGTTCGGTACTTAGTCAAACTAGGGGCAGATGTTAATGGTCGAGACAACTACGACCAGACCGCTCTCTACGCAGCTGCTGAAAACGGCCACGAAGGAAATGTTCGGATTTTGCTGAAATCAGGGGCTGTGGTTGATAGTGCTAGTAATTATGGGCGGACGCCGCTCCAGCAGGCGGCTTGTCATGGGCACCAGGAAGTTGTGGAGTGGTTGGTGAGATTCGGGGGTGAGATAAACCACCGTGATAGGTATGGTCGGACGCCACTTTACGTGGCTTCTGAGTATGGCCAGGAGAGAACTGTTCGGTATTTAGTGGAACTGGGGGCAGATGTTGATGGTAAGGATAATTATGACCAGACAGCTATTTACGCAGCAGCTGAAAACGGTCACGAAGGGAATGTTCGCTGTTTGGTGGAGTGGGGGGCCACTATTGACTCTCCTAGTGATTTCAGCCGGACACCTCTTCAACAGGCTGCTTGTCACGGCCACCTCACCATCGTCGAATATCTAGTTCTACTAGGGGCCGAAATCAACCACGCTGACCAAATAGGCCGGACGCCACTTTACGTTGCGTCAGAGTACGGCCGGGAACCCACCGTGGAATATTTAGTGGCATCCGGGGCAAGTGTTAACACCAAAGACAAATTCGCCCAGACACCTCTTTTCGCAGCTTGTGAAAACGGCCACAAAAAGATCGTCCAGTTTTTAGTTAAATCAGGTGCAGAAGTCAATGGCGCTAACCAAAATGGCCGTATGCCACTTTACATAGCTTCGTGTAACGGCCACGAACAAACTATTGAAGTGTTGCTGAAACTATGCGCCGAAATCAATCGTCCGGATAATTATGGTCGAACATCACTCCTGGTAGCTTCGCACCAAGGCCACGAAAAAGCTGTTCGGTGTCTGGTTAAGTACGGAGCTGATATCAATTACCCTGATATGTATGGTCGGACGCCACTTTATGTCGCGTCGGAGTATGGCTTCGAAAAAATCGTTCAGTTTCTGGTGAAATTCGGAGCGGATGTTAATTTTAGGGACAAGTTTGAGCAGACACCACTTTATGGAGCTTCTGAAAAGGGCCACAGAAACGTGGTGGAGTGTTTAGTGGAACTGGGGGCTGATGTTAATGTCAGGAATGAATCCGGTCAGACAGTGGAGCAGGTGGCTTTTGAAAATGGGCACCAAGAAGTAGTTGAAATGTTGGTGAAGTACAGAGAGGTCAGTAATAGAGGGTGACAAGACCTTAACTCCTCACAATGGGGAAAGACAAAATCTCGAATATTTTATTATTGACCAAGAGTGACTTAATGTGGCTTGCCTTTGAAACATCTACCACTTGTTGAACAAAGTTTTGTTGAAAATTTATTCGAAACAAATTTGTGTTATCAACAACCAGCTCTAAATTTTCCACAACAGTGTTCAGATGCAAGATTATAATTTTGTGGCGCATTATCACCTTTGCTTCATCTTCACGCCCTAATAGAATAAAATGTAAACAGTGAAAGAAGGGTTTTACTCTAAGTGGCGCCAGTTTTAGCAGTTCATGAAAGTCCACACTAAAGGTCCGAGAGTGGCTAAAATCATTGTACCGCTGTACCTAAAATCATTGTACCGATTAAAAATATCAATAAATGACTTTAAACAATGTGTAAACAGTGTTGTTAACTTTAACAACTTACTACTTTTATCAAATGTATAATAATTATTATCAATTATAATTGATGCTACATTTTTAACTACGTAGTTAGTGTAGTTAAGAAGTAGTTAAATACTTTTTTTACTTTCTGTGTAAGGGAAAGTAAATAAAAACAGTACTTGCATGAGAACTTGTTTGATCCACAGACCGGAGCGCGCTTAGGCCAATGTCGACTCTAAGCGCATTTCGTCTTTTTTAAAACATGTTTAAAATGGAAAATTTGTATAAGAAAATATCGATTTTGCAATTAGGCCCCGCCCCATAATTGCAAAATCCATGTTTCCTTGCCAAAACCATTTTAACCAGGTTTTGAGTTTCTTGTTATGAAAAGATGGCTATGCGTATTAAGAAAAGAAGGTAAAATATAAGCCCCGCCCACCCGCCCTATCTCAATTGTGATGACTTTTTTATTCGTCGTGAGCCAACGGGACAAAGCTTAACTGCAAAATTCTTATTTCTCTACCAGATATTAAAAAGATATTTTTGAGTATCGTGTTTTTCAAAAAATACTGTGTATTTTAAGAAAAAAATACAGCCAAAGATTAGGCCCCACCCATACCCGCCTCGTTCTGAATTTTCGATTGTGACGAATTTTTTATTTGTCGTCAAATCGAGAGGCGGAGCTTAAGTGCAAGATCCATATTTGTCTACAAGAATTTACCATTTTAAACATGTTTTACGTTTTTTGTTATGAAAAAATGGCTATGTGTACTAAGAAACAAAAGGCAAAATATAAGCCCCGCCCACCCACCCTCTCTCGTTTGTGATGATTTTTCTTAATTGTCGAGATTTTTTTTTAATTTAAATGCAAAATTCGTATTATTTCTCTACAGGTAACTACCATGTAAGACATTTGTTTGAGTATCGGGTATATTCAAAGAATACTATGTACAATTGTACATGTATTAAGGGGCGGAGCCTAATTGGAAAATCCATATTTCCGTGCAAAGATGTACCATTTTAAACAAGTTTTAAGTTTCTAAGGATTAAAACAATCATCACCTTCTGAGATAAAACTGATTTTGGCTAATGAGATAACCTGTAAGATAAGACAGGGTGGGTGGGCGGGCTTAGTATCTGCTAAGATTAAACTGATTTTGGTAAATAACATACTTTTTAAAAAAACAGGGTGGGTGGGTGGTGGGGCTAATATCTTTTGATATAAGACTGATTTTGGCATGTGACATACCTTCTAAGAAAAGAGAGGGTGGGTGGGCGGGGCTGTTATTTAAAATTATTTTGCTTCATTGAACTAATATTTCTGTTTACAATTTTGATGTAAATATTATCGTTTTTTCCAGAAATGTATGAAATGTGTTATGATCTTCCTTGTTTACGATCATCTTAAACAGGTAGATTTGACTTTTACAGTTTTTTTTTTGTACCGTGTGCTATAAGTTTAGTGTGATCAATTTTAGTTTTTTTAAAGTTTTAGTTGTGTTTATAAATAAAACAAATGCATTCATACATGCACAAACACGGTAATAATAATATTTGTATCTGATGTCCGAAGGCTTTTCTACACATTTCTCTATTTTTAGATTGTTGTGTTATGTATTCTATTTCAGAATTTCAGCGGGAAATAGTTATTATTTAGATTCTTTTATTAAAAACATGTCACATTTCACAGATTTCACTCGACTTTGACATGCAACTATGTTTTTATTTAACTAAGAATTGATTGTGTTTGATACTAACAAAACGTCCTGAATTAACAAATTGTGTTCTATTTTGTAATAATTTTAACCTATTTTTAGTCACAATTTTTGTAGTTATTTTTTGCTTTTAGCAATAATGCGATATGTTTAAAAAGCTTTCAGTGATCGAAAAACCGAAAAATTGAACCAAATATCCAAAAATTGGGAAATTAAAAGATTGAAAAATTGAGAAATCGAAAAGTAAAAAAAGGAAAATCGAAAAATCGCAAACTTAAAAAATCGAATATAATTGAAAAATCAAAGACCTGAAAAATCGAAAAATTGAAGAACTAAAATGTCGAAACTTTGGGGAGTCGAAATATGGGAATATCAAAAAATAGATTAACTGAGAAATCGACAAAATGGAAATTCAGAAACGTCAAAATTTGAAAAATTGAAAAATCGAAATATTTAGAAATTGTTATCACTGAAACATCGGAAAATTGAGAAATCGAAAAATAAAAAAAATCGAGGAATCGAAAATTAGAAGAATGGAAAAACTGAAAAAGACCAAAATTGACAGAAAACACATAACGCAATTACAATGAAAATTCACAGATATATTTACATACATTATACAAATTAAACTAAATATTATATAAACAACTACTACTAAAAGAATTATAAAATATAAATAAATATACATAATTGAATGTATTTAAATAACTTTCGACGTTAGAACTACTGAAGAACTAGGTAAGGAAAATCATCTTAATCGAACTTAATAAAGACGTAACTGTAACAAGCAAGTGAATTTGATCAAAACGATTTCCTCCTATTATTTATTTCATCGACTAATGAAAAGCATTCGACGATTTTATTTTTAAATGGAAAACATTTTGCTTCAGATACTCAAATATTATGTCAATCAAAACTGTTTTGTTCTTGTCCAAGCTTCGTGGAAAAATTATAAAATTCGATTTTGCCAAATTGTCTAGTATGACAATTTTGCCATGTACAACATTTCTAATCAACAATTATCTATGTCATAAGTTAAAGTTTTTATTGCACATTCTTCTTCCAAAAACTTGACTATTTTACCGTGATTCATCAAAATGGCGGTATCAAGCGGCGTAAAACCATGCTTAGAAACAACATTGACGTCGGCTCCGCATTTTGTCAAGCTTTCGACAACTATTTCGTGGCCGTTCAAGCATGCTAGGTGAAGCGGTGTCCGATCATCATTATTAGCCTGATTGACTTTGGCCCCGCGTTTGACCAAAGACTCGACAACTTTGTGGTGACCCTTCGAAGAAGCTACGTGAAGCGGTGTCAAACCGTCATTGTCAGCGCGATTGATTTCGGCTCCGCAATCCACCAGTCGTCCGACTATATTTTCGTGGCCGTTCGAGGAAGCTACGTGAAGAGAGGTCTGACCACAAATATCACTATGATGTATATCGGCACCAGAATTCACCAAACATTCAAGAACTTTTCCGTGGCCGTTCGAGCAAGCTGCGTAAAGCGACGTTTGACCAGATTTGTCAGCACAATTGACCTCTGCGCCGAGTTGCAACAAATGTTCAACTGTTGCTAGATGCCCGTTCGCTGAGGCTACTATAAGGGCTGTGACACCAGACTGTTGACAACTAAAATTTACTTCGTCCTTATAACCCTTTAATTCCTTAGTACAAACAGTTTTAATTGCTTCATCATAGCCGAACCGACTAGAATAAAACAAAATATTGATTCTGTCACATTGATTATACATTAGATGCTCTGATGGGTTTAACTTTCCTGACTGTAACAATTCCAGTTCCGCACCTAAACTTTGGCTGACTTTAGCAAATAAAAACGGCGTCATTTCAAATAGTCCATCCGGTTCTGAAATACTACATTTTTTTAACAAATGTTGCACCCCGTCTAGATATTCCCTCGTTTCTAATTCTCCTTTAAAAACTTTATCCTTGACATTGAGAGTGTGTCTCATCTTAGGTAACTTTTTCGAAAAAGACAATTGTCTGGGCAAAGAAATAATTTTTTTTTTATTTGTTCTAGAACTCTCTAGTTTTAGGCGTGAATATCTTTTTCCCCACGAGCAAATCAAATGTAGAACACTTCTTCCACCGGCATCTTTACACGCCAATATTTCTTCGTTATTTCTTTTCAGGACGTCAAAGTTCCTGTACAAGACTGCAGTGTGAAGTGGTGACTTTTTTGCCAACAACATGTCAAAGAAAAATCGTACGTTGTTAAATTTCCGTTTAAAAAATTTCTCCTTAGGTATAACCCCAAAATTCTTTGAAAAATACGAAGCAGCCAAATATTCCGCAAAAGAATTATGTAAAAAAACCGGTTTGTTATTTTGGAAACTAGTTATAATACCGATGGATGTGTAATCGTCAGACGTGTGGTCTATATTTTCTTGACAATTAAAATTTGAAAGCTTCGGAAATAACAAGCCAATTGCAACTTCTTCGTAATGGTTTAAGATTTTTTCTTTGTCTCTGCTAAACATACGCTTCAAAAAAGGATCCTGAACATTCACAGACAATTTATTTTGATAGAAAATGTTGAATTTTTCTTCAATGAAGTGATGATATAAATCGGTCAAGCGCCAACCATCACCAACCAATTTTAAATATTTGTCGTTATTTCGAACAACTATTTCTGTGAGCATAAAAATCTGAATTGGAATTCCTAAAATGTCTATATGTTTTATGAAAGCAAAACTAGAGATAACTTTTCGAACGGCACCTTCTAAATTGTCAGATGAAATAATAGGATTGAGACGTTTTCTAATGTAAACTTGTTGTTCGCGCTCATTGAATTGATTTATACTCAACGAAAGGGTGTTAAATTTTTTTTCAAGCGAAGATTTCAAGTGTTTTCTACCAGTAGCCCATTGTGTGAAACCCTGATTTGATAACAGAACAATCAAATCTGGCACGTTTTTCAAATAATCAGGAGAAATTTCATCAAGAGCGTCCCACACGTAACAAACACGAAGTTGCTCAAAACACATTTTAAAAAATTCTGTATCGAGCTTTTTAAGGTGGTGATACTTTTTCTCTAAGATGAATGTTCGGAATAAATTTAGGTAATCTGCTCTGCCAAGATTTTTTAACTCTTCAAAGAATAAATTAACGTCTTGAGGGCTAATAATTACTGTCCAGTAGCTAGAAGAACACTTATTTTTTAAGCTTTTTGTTAGTTCAGTTTTACCCATCCCTGGATCAGCTAACACTAAACTAATCCTGTTGCTAAAGTCAAAATTCCAAAACTCATTTTCTTTTTTATAATATTCAGATAATTTATAATTTTGTAATTCTCCGACATCGCCTCTGCTTCGCACCCATTCTAAATGTGTATTTTTAAGAAATTTAAAATAATGCACAATCTTGGACTCTGGTGTTTTAGAGCATATCATCTGAAATTCACATTCGCTACATTTATTTTTACTTATAATTAATATTGGAGCATTGGAAGTTGTATCTTCTGCGTTATTTAAATAATCATCGAGCTTTGTCAGTTTAATTTTTTCAAGTTTTTGTATTTCGTTCAAACTGTCTGCGCAATTTAGAATAACGACGGTATTATGACTAACGTGTTCTAAATATTTAATGTCTATCGCATTTAACGACAAATACCTTTCAATATAAGAATCAGGAAGAACTTCTTTTACCCCGTCTATGAGACGTGCGCTGTCCATCATTTCTAAAAGATTATTTACACTAATATTCTTCGAAAATTCTTCATTTCCTCCACACGCCTCCGTCAGAGTAAGCTCTGCTTTCCCTTGCAAGGAAACGGTAAAATTCTGCATCACTTTTTCATATACACTATGTTCGGATTTCAAGTCCAACAGGTTCTGGAACACGGAACGACCTCTCATCCATTCTTTCCATTTTCCTTCACCAACCAAAACGAATTTTCCATCAGGACAAAGTTGAACGGCTTTTTCTATATTTTCGTGCTCTTTTACAATTAGCGGACGTTTCTCGATCAACCACAACAACTGTGCCAACACATTTCCGTCTACATCGTCTACCCGAGATATATAATTAGGAGAAAGACGATAAAATGATCTCAGTTTGTTTAGTTCTTTGATGTCAATATTCTTGTCCAAGTCGCACCACAACCATTTCTTCATATCGCACTCCACGTTTTCCAACAGCGTAATGTCGAATGGACGAATTGCTTCTCGAAGAATTTTCCCTTTGTCGTTGACTTCCCCAGAAGTAAAATTTTCGATGTACGGAGACAACACACAAAGTGCAACTGCACATTGCATCATCTTCTTTTCTAACTTGTTTTTAGATCCTTCTTGCATGTCCCACTCACATATAATCTTCAGATATTTTTCGAACGTTTCTAGATTCGAACAGAACATCTTCACGAAATCATTCGCTGTTGAATTTTCAAGTGCTTCGAGACTTTGTTGATTAGAGTAAAGGCTAAAACATTCAAGAAATTCCTTAAACTGTTGAAGTTCTGAATCAACTTCTCCTTGGTCTTCTACAATTCGAAATTTATAACAGTAGTTTATATGTTGAGAAAGTTTGAAACTATCATCAGGAATTTCTATTTTATAAGGTTTCAAGTAAATTTTTTTTCCGTCTAGTTGAAATTTTGTGTCTTCAGATGTGTGGAATTTAAGGTTCGTGAACAGAATAAATTGTTGTGGTTTTTCCTTTATCTCTTGGAACGATTTAAAATATTTAAGGAGGCTGAAGTCTCCCTTTTCGCTTGCTAGTCGTGTTGTAACTAAATTTCCTGGTTTATTGCTGTGTTTCAACTGTACGGCCATTGATTGGATTCCCGTATCTGTTTCCACTTCAATGACTACATCATCGAAGTCTCCAAAATTTGCATCGTCCGACGAAACGTAGAAGTTTTTTACTGTTTCGGTGCTTACCATACGAAGTACGATGTTGGCGATTATCATATTTTCGTACTTCTTGCCTTTGTCTGTGGTCCCCGGACGTTTCCGAAAACTCTAAAACGTAACAAAAATAATGTAAAGAAATACACCTAGGTAACAAATAAAACAGTTTGGTATCTCTGTTTATTTTATACCTACTGTTTCGATTTACAACTAGAAAGCTGTACCTGTTTCGTCGAAGATGCATTTTCTTCTTGGTGTAAATTTTCTTCTAAAGGTAGGGTTTTGCTTTCCATGGTGATAACTACGGGAATACGCAAACCTGAAAATTAATTAGTTTTTATTACTAGTACTGGATTCACAAGAATAGTGACACTCAAAATTAAATAAAAACAATCGTGTTTCATTTTCCGAAAGAATAAATAATGAAATGTGCGTTAATTTAATGTTATTTTAGTTTTACTCACCTAAGCTTTTAACTTTCCTGTCTTCTAATATGTTTCATAAGAAGTTATAACTTTGTAGGCTCTACTTTCTATAACTTCGCTACTTAAACTTTGAATGTACCTGTTACATCTGGAGTTATTTTCTTCAAACTATTTTTGTACCTACTCTGTTGATGTTTTAGTGATTGTTATCAGCGTTGAAATTCGATGGTTGTTTTATCAAAGCACTTGGGATGTACAAATTTAAAATTGATCTAATCTCTTGCCCTTGAAATAGGTACTACAGTAAAACATCTCCAGCTGTTTCTTACCTTTAACTGAATAGTTTTAGACAAAGTTGCTTAGATAAAGTTCTAAAACAGCATTTGTTTTGTCTTATACAAGGAATTTCTTGTACAAAGCAATGAGTTAATATACTAAATTCAGTGGTTTCAAGATCAGCAGTTGCAGCCTTTACTTATCTTTATTATTTTTGCGCACATCACTGTATCATTGTAAATAAAAATTTTCTCTTTATCAAGTTCAAACTGCAAATTCTCCATCAAGATCTAGGTGGTGAAGACGACACACGTGTTTGAATGAAGTACCCCAAATCTTGATAAAATTTTCTTTAGTTTATTTTTGCCATGTCATCGAGGATGAATTCTTTTAACAATTTTCTCTCCATTTTTGTAAATTTTCAAAATTATTCGAAAGCTATCGGTGTTTTATTTTCGATACTATATTAATATTGTTCAGTCCTATCGTTGCAAGTACTAGCCCCGCCCACCCACCCTCTTCTCGTTCTAGCGACTAGTTTTATTTCTGCATAAAATCCACCTTTAATTCAGAGCAGATAAAACTAAGTTTAACTTTTTTCTAGAGTTTTTCATAGACAAACAATAGCCCCGCCCATCCACCCCCCCTTCATTCTAGTTACTACTCTTAATATTGTTCAGTTTTATCGTTGCAAGTACTAGCCCCGCCCACCCACCCTCTCTTTTCTTAGAAGGTGTGTCATTTGCCAAAATCAGTCTTTTCTTAACAACTACTAGCCCCGCCCACCCCCTCTTTTCTCATTCTAGCGACTGCATAAGATCCATTTTTCACTCAAAGCAGATAAAATTAATCACTGAAATCGAGGCGGGTGGGTGGTCGGGGTTTAGGTATATGTTCTTCGGTAGAGTGGGAATGGAAACTAATCGAAATTAGTGCTAAGTAATTTTCTTGTTGTTGTATTATTTGTCATAAGATTTATTTCTTAGTTCAGAAAAAAAAATGAGGGAACGGGTGGGTGGGTGGGGCTAACTTTAGTTTCCTCCTAGAGTCTTTTATAGACAAGCAATAGTCCCGCCCACACTCCCCCATTTCATTCCGGTTATTACTCTTATTATTGTTCAGTTTTATCGTTGTAAGTACTAACCCCGCCCACCCGCCCTTTGTTTTCTTAGAGGATTTGGCAGTTAAGCTCCGCCTCCCGGCTCACGATGAATACAAAAAATCATCACAATTGAAACCGGGTGGGTGGGCGGGGTTTATATTTTTCCTTTTTTTTTAATATATGTGTCTGCTTTTTTGTCGAGAAATAGGGATTTTGCAGTTAAGGTTTGCCCCCTGAATCACGATGAATAGAAAAATTCATTACAATTGCGACAGGGTGGGTGGGCGGGGCTATGTTTCTCATTTTAGCGACCAATTCTATTTCTGTATAAGATCCACCTTTCATTCAGAGCAGATAAAATTAATCACCAAAATGGAGGCGGGTGGGTGGGCGGGGTTTAGGTATATGTTCTTTCGTAGAGAGGGAACTGATCGAAATTAGACTGTAAAAAAAGCGCTAATCGTAACTACTTTGTTATACTATTTATTATAAGATTTATTTCTTATTTTGGAAGAAGAAAAAGAGAGATTGGGTGGATGGGTGGGGCTAAGTTTAACTTTTTCCTATAATCTTTTATAGGCAAGCAATAGCTCCGCCCACCCTCCCCCGTAATCATTCCAGTTACTACTCTTAATATTGTTCAGTCTTATCGTTGCAAGTACTATATGTAAATTGTTGAATTATAAAAATTGGTGTACAGTTATTTAGACAGCACCTTCCTCGCTACGGTATAACATAATTCAGTTTTGTCAGATAATTGTAAGATTCGATTTAGAGATCAGGCGAATGACTAATTTTATGTTTTCTCGACGATTCTCGATTTTATACCACAATTTTTGGTTTCTTTGTTTCCTTTATTTTTTTTTGTTTCTTTCGATTTACAATTTTTTATTTAATTAATTTTTCAAATTTTCAGGTTTTGGGTTTTCAGATCCATGATTTCCGCGTTTAAAATTTTTCAATTTGCAGTTTTTGGATTTCCAGTCTTCCAATTTCTCAATTTCCTTAATTCTCAATATTTTGATTTTACAATACATTTTTCTTGTTTTTTATTTTTCACTTTTTCGAATTTTAAGTTTTTCAAGTTTTAACCTTTCGATTTTTCAAATTTTCGTTTCTTCAAATTTTCAAGTTTGATTTTCACTTTTGACAATTTTCAAGTGATCATTATATACTTTTTCGTTTCTTTATTTTTGATTTTTCAATTTTACAGTTTCTTGAGTTCTAAATTCTTCAATTTTTTAATTTTGCAATTTTTCGACAGTACAGTGTCTCATTTTTCGATTTTTCACATTCTCAGTTTTTAATGTTTGTCATTTTCAATTTTTCGTTTCCTCAATTTTTCAACTTCTCGATTTTAATTTTTCATTTTCCCGATTTTTTAATTTTCATTTTCTCGATTTTGTCACAAAGTTTCATTTTTTCAATTCCTTTATTTCTTGTTTTTTCTTTAGATTTTTCAATTTTTCGTTTCTTCAATTTTTCGATTTTCAGTTTCTCAATTTTTCGTTTCCCGATTTTTATTTTTCAATGTGGCGAATTTTTAATTTTTATTTGCTCGATTTATATCACAATTGCCTATTTTGTCATTTCTTTTATCTTCTGTGTTTTTTTTCGATTGTACAATTTTTCATTTGTTCAATTTTTCAAATTTTCAGGCTTTGAATTTTCAGTTCGTCCATTTTTCAATTTTTAAATTTTTCAGTTTTGCAGTTTTTGGATCTCCAGTCTTCCGATTTTCCAATTTCGTTAATTTTCAATATTTCAATTTCATAATACATATTTCTTCTTTTTGATTTTTCACTTTTTCGATTCTTAAGATTTTTCAAGTTTTCATTTTGTAATGTTTCGTTTTTTAATTTTGATTTTTCAATTTTACAATTTCTTGACGTCCAAAATTTTCAATTTTTCGTTCCTTCAATTTTTCGGTTTGCACCAATTTTTCAATTTGGCAATTTTTCAATATCACGGTTTTTCATTTTTCGATATTACAGTTTCTCATTTTTCGATTTTTCACATTCTCAGTTTTTAATGTTTGTCATTTTCAATTTTTCGTTTCCTCAATTTTTCAACTTCCCGATTTTAATTTTTCATTTTCCCGATTTTTTAAATTTCATTTTCTCGATTTTGTCACTAATTTTAATTTTTTGAATTCCTTTATTTCTTGTTGTTTTTTCGATTTTTCAATTTTTCGATTCTTCAATTTTTCGAATTTTCAGTTTTTCAATTTTTCATGTTCCCGAGTTTTATTTCCCAATGTGGCGAATTTTTAATTTTTATTTTCTCGATTTATATCACAATTGCCCATTTTCTCATTTCCTTTAATCTCCTGTTTTTTTTTCGATTTTCCAATTTTTCATTTGCTCAATTTTTCAAATTTTCAGGCTTTGGATTTTCAGTTCGTCCATTTTTCAATTTTTAAATTTTTCACTTTGCAGTTTTTGGATTTCCAGTCTTCCGATTTTCCAATTTCGTTAATTTTCAATATTTCTATTTCACAATACATATTTCTTCTTTTTTTGATTTTTCACTTTTTAGATTCTTAAGATTTTTCAAGTTTTCATTTTGTAATGTTTCGTTTTTTAATTTTGATTTTTCAATTTTACAATTTCTCGACTTCCAAAATTTTCAATTTTTTGTTCCTTCAATTTTTCGGTTTGCACCAGTTTTTCAATTTGGCAATTTTTCAATATCACGGTTTTTCATTTTTCGATATTACAGTTTCTCATTTTTCGATTTTTCACATTCTCAGTTTTTAATGTTTGTCATTTTCAATTTTTCGTTTCTTCAATTTTTCGAATTTTCAGTTTCTCAATTTTTCGTTTCCCGATTTTTATTTTTCAATGTGGCGAATTTTTAATTTTTATTTTCTCAATTTATAGCACAATTGTCCGTTTTTTCATTTCCTTTATCTTCTGTGTTTTTTTTTATTGTACAATTTTTCATTTGTTCAATTTTTCAAATTTTCAGGCTTTGAATTTTCAGTTCGTCCATTTTTAATTTTAAAATTTTTCACTTTGCAGTTTTTGGATTTCCAGTCTTCCGATTTTCCAATTTCGTTAATTTTCAATATTTCTATTTAATAATACATATTTCTTCTTTTTTTGATTTTTCACTTTTTCGATTCTTAAGACTTTTCAAGTTTTCATTTTGTAATTTTCCGTTTTTTAATTCTGATTTGTCAATTTTACAATTTCTCGAGATCCAAAATTTTCAATTTTTCGGTTTGCACCAGTTTTTAAATTTGGCAATATTTCAATATTACGGTTTTTCATTTTTCGATTTTTCAGTTTCTCAATTTTTAATTTTTCCTTTTTCCAATTTTTTGTTTCCGATTTTTATTTTTCATTTTCCCGATTTTTTAATTTTCACTTTTTCGATTTTATATCACAATTTTTCGTTTTTCATTTCCTTTAGTTTTTGTTGTTTCTTACGATTTTACAATTTTTCGTTTATTCAATTTTTCAAATTTTCAGGTTCTTTTTTATTTTTCTTCAAATTTTCAAGTTTGATTTTCACTTTTTACGTTTTTCAAGTTTTTATTATACACTTTGTCGTTTTTTTACTTTTGATTTTTCAATTTTACTTTTTTTGTCGACTTCAAAATTTTCCAATTTTTCGATATTACTATTTCTCAATTTTCCATTTTTCACATTCTCGATTTTTAATTTTTCCCTTTTTCAATTTTTCGTCCCCTCAATTTTCCAACTCCTCGATTTTTATTTTGCATTTTCCTGATTTTTTATTTTTCATTCCTTAATTTTTGTTGTTTGTTTCGATTTTACAATTTTTCGTTAATTCAATTTTTCAAATTTTCAGGCCAATAAATTCCAATTCGTATATTTTCCAATTTTTAAATTTTTCAGTTTGCAGTTTTTGGGTTTCCACCACTTTTTTACTTTATGGATTTTCAATTTTTCGTTAAACTTTAGATTTTTCAAAGTTTCGACGGTTTTATACTTCAATTTCTCTTTTTTTTTAACTTTTTAGAACAAATACTAAAGCTAAAATGGAAACTTTGGTTGAAATATAAACGGTTTAAGGATCCTGCGGTATACTCCAAATTCAAGATTTTAAGATCGCAAGTCAAAATTGAAATAAAAATTGCATATAGCGTATATTTAGAAAAAACTGAAAGTAATACAGTCTCATCCAACACAATTCTGGTGCTTTGTTCACAGGTTGACCTGACCTGACCTGACCTGAAAAAGAACTCTATATTTTTCGTTCATAGTCTTATACAAAATTAAGCAATATTTCAGTTTAAATTGTAGTTTGTTAACCTCATTTTAGAGGAATTTAATAGGTAGACAGAAAAAATCTCGATTAGTTTTTCATAATTATGGTAGTCCACTAGTACATTTTAATAACAATAAAAATAATATACGTTATTGTCCAACAATAAAGTATATTCCCAACTTCTGGATTATAAAAAACAATAGTACACCAAATTAGAAAAATGTAAATAAAATAAGAATTATATATAATATACTCCTAACAAATTAATTTATCGAAAGTACGATACGACTGTATCTTTAATAAGAAAATTATTATCACACTTAAAAAATTACCATTATGCGAAAGAAAATAATCTTAATAAAAAAATATTGACTGAGGACTTAATTGTCATAAAACAAAGAATTTGATCTAGATGATTTTCTTTGCATTATATTTTATTAAATAATAATAATAATAATAATAATAATAATGTTTATTAGTACATATAACAAAAGTCACAAATTCAATACAAGGCACATTACATAGGTACATATGGATTTTTATAACTTTAAAATCAAGTCAAAACATTGGATGGGGGCACAATTACTGAGGTAACACTGAGGAATTCATAATAATTGTAAAATGCATTTTTGATGAGATGATCTGATATTTGTCTCTTAAATTGCTTTATACCAAGATTTTGAGTACTTTCTGATAATTTATTGTAAAATTTGACAGAGTAATAATTGAATGACTGGTTTCTTTTTAGCCTTACAAAATTTGGAAGAAGTGCAGCGTTGTGACGTGTATTATACGAGTGAATATCTTTGTGTCTCATATGATTATTGATGTTAAGTTTATAGATATAGCAGTGAATTTAATATATATATATTGACGGTAGGGTTAATATTCTTAAGGATGTAAAATATGAGCGGCAATCATCCCTATAACCTATGCCAGCAAGAATTCTTATTGCTCTTCTTTGGAGCCTAAATATGCGATTACAGATGCTGGCATGACCCCATGTTAGGATACAGTATCTTAGATGCGATTCACATAAGGCAAAATATGCTGTTCTGAGCACTTGATATGATACTTTATTTTTAAGACTCCTTAACACAAATAAGTTTTTGCTAATTCTATTGGCCAGCTCGTCGCCGTGAACTTTCCAGGTTAGTTTTGCATCCAAATGTATCCCAACGAATTGTGCTGAAGTGGTGAAATCTGGTGGAACATCGCTATTTTTTAAAGAAAATAACATAGTGGTAGTTTTATTTGCGTTCAAGCTGAAGTCGTTTTGTCTGAACCAATCCTCAGCCCTCGATTGCGTCTCCTCCCTTTTGACGCAGATAGTCTCCGTGGATGTTGCTTGGTTTATTAGGGTTGTATCGTCTGCATACAAGATAATTTTTGAGTCTATACTAGAAGATAGGTCGTTAATAAAAATAACGAATAAAAGGGGCCCCAGGATGGACCCTTGTGGCACACCTTTTCTGGCAGGGAGACAATCGGATAATTGTTCTTTATATTTGACAACCTGGTGTCTATCTTCCAGATATGATCTAATAAGTTGAATGCTAGACGGTACCAAGTTATAGGCTGTCAGTTTTTTGAGGAGAAGTTTATGCGAGACGCAGTCGAAGGTTTTGGACAGGTCCAGAAAAGACGCAACTGCAATTTTACGATCTTCAAAGCACTGAGATATAAAATTAACTAACTCCTGAACAGCATTACCAGTGGAACGGTTTCTCCTAAAACCATATTGTGAGTCAGAAAGTAAAGCATGTGATTCAAGATAAGTACAAAGTTGTTCAAATAGAATTTTCTCTAATATTTTGCCAAATATGGGAAGTAATGAGATAGGTCGATAATTAGATGGATTATTAGTATCACCCTTTTTGTATACTGGTACAGTGACCGCTGTTTTAAGACATTTGGGAAAGATGCAATATTTTATGCAAAAGTTAATAAGTTTTGCAAATGGAGGTATCAGCAAGTCCTTTATACTTTTGACAATTTTCACATTAAGGTTAAAGATATCAGAAGAATTACTATTTTTCAGGTTATCTATAGCTTCTCTCACTTTTATGTGTGACACTTCTTTAAAACTGAAACTAAGGCTATTAATCAAGGAGTGAGTAGACTTACTTGCTATATCACAGAGTTCAATATCGCAGTCATTATTGCTTTGCGTTCCCAATTTTGAAATTTCATTTATAAAATAGTTGTTAAAATCGTCACAGGTCATATCACAGCTTAATTTTTAGCTATTAACACTTTTATTGCGAGTTTCGTTGATAATTTTCCACATAGCCTTGACTTTATTACTTGCAGTAGAGAGGAATTTTTCAATTACAAAGCATTTTCTTTTCATTTATTTTGTCACGATATACTTTCCTAAACGAGTTTTTTGCTGACTTGGTTTGTTCACTCCCAATTAGATTATTTATTTCACATAAATGTTGTAATCTTTCCCGCATTTGAATTAATTCACTATCAAACCACTTTACAGTTTTGTTGTTGTTAGGTTGACGCTTGACTACTTTTGGAGGGAAGGCTTGCCCTACGTGACCTTCTATTAGATTTACAAATTTTGTGAACAAGTCGTCAACTGAATTATTACTGCATAGCTTAATGAAGTCCCAGTTGATATTGGACACCGACTCGTACAATTTGAATTTACCAAGAGCAGTAATTGGCCTATGTTTAATAAGCTGTGTTTTTTGTTTGTTTTTAGTAGACGAAATTAACACTTTAATTTTGATGCCTCTATGATCTGATAGGTGTAAATTCCATGGACTAATTTGAAAAAGTGCGTGATCTAGATTTGTAAAAACGTTATCCAGACAGTTGTTATTTCTAGTTGGAAATTCGACTAAGTGAAAAAGCCCATAAGTTCTCATAAAATCTAATAAGCAGTCTTTTAAGAGGTCTTCTTTGTCAAATTTTACATTAAAGTCACCAGTCAATATTATGTTGTTCTTTAATGTGTTAATTATACCAAAAACTTTTTCTAAAGTACTCAAAAATTTGTTCAGATCTCCAGAGGGTGATCTATAGACATTTATCACATACATTTCTAGGTTATTCATATAAATTCCAGATATCTCACCATGTTTCTCAATTGAGAGTTGTCCGAGATTTTGGAGACGAGTGCAAGAAACCCCAGCGTTCCTCATAATCATTGTGCCCCCATGTTTCGTTGAGTTTCTGGAAAAATAAGACTCAGTTACAAAATTATTAACACGTATTTGGTCAGCTTCTACTGCCATCAACCAATGTTCACAAAGGGTAAGGAGGGAGAAGTCATCCTCTGCTACTGCTGCCTCAAATTCCGCTAGTTTAGCCCTCAGAGATTGGATGTTGATTGACAGAATGTTCAAATAGCCTTCTACCCCTAAGGCAACGCGGTCTTCTTTAGTATCCGATGAAAAAAACGATTGACACAGCTGCCAGGAGGCCAGGTTTCAGGTTTCATAGCTACGTCTTGGTCTTTATGATCAATGGTCACTTTGAAGCTTGAATATAGGTCCGGATATCTTGACTGCAGCTTTTCAACTCCGAAAGTGCATATATTTGACATGCAGAGGTGATCTTCGATATCCTTTGTAGTCGTTGAAGGATTTAGTCGATACACGTGGATGAAGCTTCTTCGTGGGACTGCTTTGAGGGTACTATTATCCACCGAGCATCCAATTATCGCTTTGTTGGATTCTCTGCGATGCCTTTTTTTGCTTTTGACTTTATTCCAGTTATCGTCTTCATTCTGCAGTGTCTTATTATTGTCCAGGTTTTCGTTATCGTCCTGAACTGGCTCCTGGAGTTCGCTATAACCACGAAGTGTCTTCTTTACTTTCTTATCTTTATCTCCTTGATTTGGTGTTTTGGCTTGATTAGATGGCGAGTCTTGCGTTTTTTTCTGTTGTTTATCGTTGGTGTTTTTGAGCGGGAGCAGCTTACTGTTTTTGACAATTTCATTATTTTCTTGCGATGTCGTTTCTGGATTATGATTATTGGAAATTCCTTCCTCCTGCTTAATTATGGTGTTATTTAGCAAGGTTATTTGCTTGTGGAGTATGTCCAAGTTCGCACATAAACTTTTTATGTGCAAGTCTTTCTCCTTCAGCAGTTTTTTTAGATACTTATTTTCTACCTTTGCGGTGTCAGAATTCTCAATTGCAGAACTAAAGGATTCATCATCCAATTCGTTGTCGGGGTCATTAATTGAAGCAGCAACTTCTTCTTGGGCGATGCTGTTGGTCATTTTCTTCTCTGGCAATGTCGTCGGAGTCACCTTGGAACCACAGCACATAACCTCACCAGGAGCAATTTCCACAACATCTTTAAGATATTTAATGCACCCTGGATGAAAAACTGAATTGCACTGTACACATTTTGGGCCTTGCGTTGGAATATTGCCACACTTTTTGCACATTTTTGTAGCGTTCGAGTTACTTTTGAGCTGCCCCGTCACGGTCGCCATCTTATTCATATATAATTATTTCGTACTGTCATACTCGTACCATAGGCACGAACGTCTGAGATCTCTCATAAGTGTGTCCAAGACACACCGTTATCGAATAATTATAGTAATACACCTCTTTGGTTGTGGGTACACCAAAAAATTTCTAAATTCAATTTGAAAATTTCACGAATTGTGTTTTTGCACTTTTTGATACTAAAAAATCTACTACATTCTTGTGTTTCCGTGAAATAGCGACATCAAGTGGTGTTCTACCTTTTTCATCAGCGCGATTGATTTCTGCCCCGCACTTCACTAGGCATTCGACAGTCTTCTCGTGACCGTCCGAGCAAGCCACGAAAAGCGGCGTCCAACCAATATAATCAGCGCGATTGACATCTGCTCCGCACTTCACTAGGCATTCGACAGTTTTGTCGTGACCGTTCCGGGAAGCTCCATAAAGCGGTGTCCAGTCATTTTTATCAGCCCGATTGATTTCTGCTCCGAACTTCACTAGGCATTCGATAGTTTTGTCTTGACCGTCTGAAGAAGCTGCATGAAGCGGGGTCCTCCCACTATTATCACCGCGATTGATTTCTGTTCCACACTTCACTAGGTATTCGATAATTTTTTCATGACCGTTCCAAGAGGCTGCATAAAGCGGTGTCTCACCGTTATGATGAGCGCGATTGATTTCTGCTCCCAACTTCACTAGACATTCGACAGTTTTCTCGTGACCGTACCAGGCAGCTTTATAAAGCGGTGTCCCACCATCACCATCAGTGCGATTGATTTCGGCTCCGCACTTCGCTAGGCATTCGACAATTTTGTAGTGACCGTTCCGGGAAGCTGCGTAAAGCGGTGTCCAACCATATTTATCTACGCAATTGATTGCTGCTCCGCACTTCACTAGGTTTTCGACCATTTTTTCTTGACCCTTCAAGGAAGCTGCGAAAAGGGGTGTCCGACCAACATTATCAGCGCGATTTATTTGTGCTCCGCACTTCACTAGGCATTCGACTGTTTTGACGTGATCGTTCCGGGAAGCTGCAAAAAGCGGTGTGCAACCGTCATCATCAACGCGGTTAATTTCGGCTCCGGATTCCATTAAATATTTAGCTAGTTTTCTTTGGCCGCTTTCGGCAGCCACATAGAGTGGTGTCCGAATACAAAAGTTACCAAGACTTGTTTGTCCTTCACAATCTACTAAATATGCAGCAACTCGTTCGTGATCATTGAGAGATTCAAGCACGCGAGATGTACTCCCGGAATTTCCAGTTTTAGAATTTGCTCTTGCTTCTCTTTCACAAGCATAAGCTAACGGAGTCATGTTAAATAGCACATCTTGTTCTGCAACGCTACACTTATCTAATAAATTTCCCACCGCTTCAAGGTAATTTTTTTCTGAACGAGGAAATTCCTGACTCACATAGCAAAGTAAATGCAGCGCACTTCTTCCACCACGATCTTTCCGAGTTAAAATGTCATCACCATAGGTATTTAACTGTTCAAAGTTTTTGTACAAAACGGCAATATGAGCTGGCGAGTTAAGTGCCATTATTGTGTCAAAGAAAAAACGAATGTTCGTGTAATTTCCATCGAAGAGAACTTCTTTGGGTACTTGGCTAAGGTTTTTCGAAAAATATGCAGCTACCAGATATTCGGCATAAGAGACGTGGAAGAAATGTGGCACATTTTTCCGTACTTCGGTTATAAGTCCAAGAAGACAAGTCTTGTTACTATAAATTACTTTAGCAGAAAGTTGAAAATCGAGTTTCAGCGGTTGTAAAATTTCGTCAGGAAATGATGCCTTTAGTGCGATCCTTTCATAATGAATCAACGTTTTTTCCCGACTTCTTGGAATTGTGTTCTCTAAGTGGTAATTTTTAATGTCACAAATAACTTCATTCCTGGTAGAAAATTTCACCAAAATTAAGTATTTATAAAGATCTGCCACTAAAAACTTATCAGTCAATAACTTTGAAAAAACGACATCATTTCTGAGCAGTAGCTCCGCAAGCATAAATATTTCACCCGGAATTCCCAAAATATCAACGGCATTCACAAACGCAAGCATGGACTTAATTTTATCTATAGCATTTTTGATCTCGTCAGACGATTTGGAAGGGTGAAGCCTCTGACTGACATAATATTCTTGCTCGTCTTCATTAAATCCAATTAGGCTGCTTGAGATTACACCAAACTTCTTTTCTAGGTGGGTTTTAATGTGTTGTCTGCAATTAACCAACTGAACGAAACCCTTTTGAGATAGCTCAACAATCAGATTTGAAATCTTATCTAAATTTTGTGTTGTAATTAAATCAAAGGCATCCCACACGTAAAGAACGCGGCGTTGTTTTAAGTAAGATTTCAAAATTTCGTGGTCTAAATTTCTCTTAGAAACAAATTCGTAGTTTAACAAAAAACTTTCGAGCAATTTGATGTGGTTTGATGTCGAATCTTTTTCCAAACTTTGTAGAAACAAATTCACATCTTTTGGATAAACCGTGACTGTCCAGTATTTTGGAGAACATTTGCGTTTCAAGCTTGTCATTAACTCAGTTTTCCCCATTCCAGGGTTCGCCGATATTACAATAATGTTCTTAATGTCGTCGAAGGAGCAAAAATCGTTTTCGGTTTGATAGTTGTTGTTAGATATTTTATATTTTTGAATTCCACTCACGTCACCTTTACTTCGAACCCATTCTAAGCTCTCGTTGTTAAAAAACTTGAAATAATGAATAACGTTAATTTCTGATCTACTGCAGCAAAGTTTTTCAAACTCAATGTCACTACATTTATTTTTACTTACATAAATCTTCACACCTGGAACTGATTTATCCAAATTCGGATCATCAATATCTGTCGTATTATATTTGTTGAGTTGATCCACTTGATCAACATTGCTTTTAAAATTTAAGAGAACGATGGTCTGATCGTCAATGTGGTCTAAATATTTAATATCTACCATAGTTCGTGACAAATGTCGTTCGATATAAGGGTGACAGAGTGTTTCCCTTTGCCTCCCTATACATAAGGGTCCGTCTAACATATCCAGTAGATCGTTGGTAGTCACGTATTTTAAAATTGTTTCATTATTCTCGAAAGCTGTTTTCAAATTAAGTTCTTCGTTTCCTTGTAACGAGATTGTAAAAGTTGTGGTCACTTTTTCATAGACTTCTGGTTTTAATTTTAAGTCAAATAAGTTCTGGAACACGGGACGATTTATAATCGTCTCTCTAATTTCCCCTTCGCAAAGTACGACAAACTTTTCATCACTGCAAAACTGAACGACTTTGGTCACATTTTCATGGTCTTTTACGATCAGCGGACATTTGTTCATCAGCCACAGCAGCTGCGCTAAAATTTTTCGATCTAAGTTGTCGACAGGGTCGATATAATCAGAAGAAAGTTGATAGATTTCTCTAATTTTATTCAGTTCTTCTACTCCACTGATTTGGCTGCTCACATCACCCCAGAGTTGTTGTATTACGTCGCTGTTTCTATTTTCGAAGAGTGTGACGTCGAACGTGCTAATGGCGTTTCGAAGAATACGCATTTTGTCACTGACTAAACCATCAGTTATAGGCACAATATGAGCAGTGAGTAGTTGCAACGCAATTATGCGTTGGACAAATTTCTTGTTCAATTGTAGTTTTCCCGTTTTCTCCTCATTCCAGTTTGATATTATTTGAAGGACTTTCTCAAAAATGTCTTTGTTGCAGTTAAATATTTTTGAAAATTTGTCTACTGTAGCTTTATAAAGATTGTCAAAATTCGTCTCACAAGTGTAAATGTAAAACTTTTCAAAAAATGACCTATATTTTTCAATTTTTGGATAATTTTCCTGATTCTGTTCGTGTTCTACGATCCGCAGTTTGTAACAGTGGGTCATATCGCGAAATATTCTCGCACTGCCTTGCACTGTAACCTTATTAAATTTTATGTAAAACTCTTCACCTTCTAGTTGAAACATTTCGTTGTCCGTAGTTATAAACTGACAATCCACGAACAATATAAATTCTTGTGTGGTGCTTTGCATTTGTTGGAAAGAATCAAAACATTTGTGGAGACTAATGTTACTATTTTTCTTTGTAAGTTGTTGGAGAATTAAAGTACTTTGGCCACTGAATTCTAGATGCATTGCTGATGTTTCTTTTCTGTTATCGATACAAACTCCAATGATTACATCGTCAAATATGCCAAGGCCATCATTTTTCTGAGAAATACGGAAATCTTTTATTTTATCGTTGCTCATCATATCTATTATGACATCACCAATAGCCATGTGTCTATAGTTTCTAGCCGGCGTCGTCTGAAAAATACAAAAAAGGAGAAACTTTTATCATAATTAAATAAAGCAAAACACACACTTTGTCTTTACTTTCTCTTTAGATTAAGAACCGATATTACGACTTACCTTGTCGTTGAAGTTACTATCAGACATTGCAACTGGCAGAGTAATTCCAGGTTTCTTCATAATCCTGTGTTCAAAATTTTCTCCATTGCTCACCAACAAGTTGCCGTTTTCTTCTACTGGATTGATCCTTGCACCTAGAGAAAAAAGTAGTTCGCTTGTTTCTTCGTGTGACTGTTGATAGCTCAGACCCAACGGCGTCAAACCGTTTTTGTCAGTGAAATTTGGAACTGCGCCAAGAGACATCAATTTTTGGACGACTGTGTTGTGACCATTTTGGGATGCTAGATGTAATATCGTTCTACCTTCTTCGCTTACTGCATTGACGTCGACTCCACTTTCAATCAACAAATTGACAATTTTGTCTTCGTCTTCGAGCAGAGCTATATAGAGTGCAGTTCGACCATGTTTATCAGTAGCACTGGGGTTAGCTCTGTTACTAATCAATACCTTCACTACTCCTTCGAAGCCGTTTTGACATGCCAAATGAAGGGGTGTGAGATCGTCGGAATTGCATGCATCTATGTTCAATCCGCGTTTTAGCAAATCTTCCACGAGTACTTCGTTACCACTTTCACAAGCTGCGTGAAGCAAAGTATTTTTATTTTCACAAAGAGTTTCAAGTTTGGCTCCTTTGTCCAGTAAAATCTGTGCGATACGTTCGTGCCCTCTAGATGCAGCTAAATGTAGAGGCGTCCGACCTTCTTCATCCACACAATTCAAGTCGATTCCAAAGTGTAGCAAAATTCTTACAAGTTTTTCGTCTCCGTTTTGACAAGCCAAAAATAGCCAATGTTTTGCAGATGAAACGATCTTTAAAACATCTTCATTCTTCTCCAATAGATTGATAAAATCCGTTCGTTCATATTTTACACAATAGTATAAAATACTGCAAATAGTGTTGTCACTTAGTGTGGTGGACTTAATTCTGCATGTTTTGATTATCGTGGCGAGGACAAATAAGCACTCGTATTTTTGCGCACAAGAAAAACAGTTCATTTCAAGCAAATCTTTCACCCTGAACTGACTTAATAAATATTTTAAGATTCCTTCATGTCTCTGATTGGTTTCGTGACTATAATCTGAATAATCCTCAACTAAGTATGTCTTATTTGATTTTATAACCCGCAGAACAGGATATCGTTGTCCCCAAGTGCAAGCTAGTTCTAAAGCATTTCTTCCTTCGTCATCTTTTTTACACAGTTCTTCACAGTCGTATTGCTTCAAAGCTTCCAAATCTTGATATAAGACTGCTATGTGGCCAGGACGATTATGAGCTAACATCATGTCGAAGAACAAACGAACGTTGTCATGTTTAATCTTACAAATGATAAATTCGAAGTTTTTGCGATTCCTGGCTAGATAATCAGCCGCGAAATATTCGGCGTAAGAATTGTGCACAAATGTAGGATGTTTGCTTTCTGTAACACTATTTATAAATCCAGCGTAGTCTCCTTTTGAAGCAACATCTGATAAAAAATCATCGCAGTTGAGATTAAGCTGATTGAACATATTTTCATCTAAAAGGATCTTGAGGGCTGCAGCTTGATAATCTTTCGTTCTAGCTTTTTTGCCATCTTGAGAAATTTGACACTGAAAAGAATTGTCTAAAATTTTCAGTTCGGCTTTTTCTTTATTACATAAATTAAATTTTTCATCAACAAAATATCGATAGAGATTGGTGATGATTTTAAAATGGTCTAACATCGTGACATATTTATCGAAATTATTTTCAAGTAATGTAACTACCATAAATAGCTGCAAGGGATTTCCAAATATTTCCCCGTGTCCAGTGAACGCGATTTTTTCTAATATTTCCTCGAAGGTCTTTGCTGAACATTTCTTTTCTAAACTCTTCATCATATATTGCTGTCGTTGGTCAGCGTTTAGCCGAATTATTCGTTTACATAGAACTCCGAGTTTCTCTTCAAGCAGTTTTTCTAAATGAATTCGACAAGTTATCCACTGTAACGAAGAACCTTTAGAAATTGTTAGAATGACATCAATGACTCCATTTAAACGTGCTTCTGATATTTCATCTAAGCCGTCCCACAGATACAAAAATCGTCCATTTTTTGCCAAAAATTTTAGGAAATAACTATCAAAATTTCCACGAAGGTGAAACTTCGATTTTAGCAAAAAGTCTTTGAATGAAATTTGACTCTTATTTTGACGTGAAGAGTAAAAGCGTGAAATATCTTTGGGAGTTATAATGATTGCAAAATTTGAAACATCTTTTTTTAATTTTTTCAAAAAGTATGTTTTCCCCATTCCTGGTTCGTCAGCTATTATGTGCACATTATTTTCGGTGTGTAGCTGAGGTAGTTCGGACTCTGGAATATTTTTCTCTCGATTGCTTTGAATACGATATTGTTGCAACGCAGAAATATCACCTTTTGTTGCCATCCACTCCAACTTATTTTCTTGGTTATCTAACTTGAAATGGTGGCAATTTCTTACGTTGCTTGTACCTTCACAAATATTCCGAAACTGTTGACTGGAAAATTCTTCATGGCTGACATATATCGTGGGTTTATAGTTGAGAACTTTACACTTTTTATTAGAAAAGATAACATACTGATCGTCATCGTAGTCAACATTATCTGCTAATTTAAGCATTTTCTTAAGTACAAGAATTCTTTCGTCGTCTACGCAAGTGATTAAAACCATCGTATCGTGCCTGATGTTCTCTAAATACTTGTAATCGACAAAATTTCTAGTCAAAGATCTACTAACATATCTCCTCCACGTTTCTAGTGGCAGATTTTGAGCAGTGTCTTCTAATTCCTTAACCTCGTAAGGACCCTGAACCATTTCCAACAATATGTCTGTGGATATGAACCGCTGGAATCCTTTATGACCTTCAGTAAGTTCTTCTAACTTGATTGTTTGACTTTTGAACCGACACTCTAAATTCGTCTTCAAATTTGTCAAATCATTATCATCTTCAATACTTGATAACTGTAGAAAAATTGAACCGTCGTTTAATTCCTTCTTGGAAAAATTTTTTGCAACCATTACGAACGATCGATCTTTACAGATATTGATAGCTTTGTAAGCACAGGAACTTTCTTTCAAAATTAAAGGACACTTGTTCATCAACCAAAGTAGTTTAGCCCATTCGATACCGCTAATACTATTCAGCTCGCTTATGTTATTTACATATTTTGTTTTAATGTGGTATCTCTTCCTTTCGTCATTTAATTCATTAATGGCCTTACTGTCAAACTCATCCTTTAAATTACTCCAAAGACTTTGTACGTTTTCGCACGACTCACTGTTAAAAACTGTCAAATGAAATTTAGAAATTGCCTGCTGTAGATACTTGGCATTTTCTAGATTAATGTTTACCGTTTCGAAGGATATAGCGCAAATTGAAGGAGTCGCTATCTGAAGAGCCAACAATCGTGCCATCATTGTTTTGTCGAGTTTTTCCTTTTCGCTTTCTACCATATTCCAGTTTTCAACAAAGTGTATATATTGCAGAAATACGTCGTTTGCAGTCTCAGCAACCAGTAGTTTATCAAATTCTGATTTGATTGTTTTTTGTAATGCATCCAAGTTGAGTTGTTTCGAATAGATGAAAAAATTTTCGAAGAAAGCTTCATAGTCACACACTTCGTTTGTCAAATCTTGTATATCATTATTTTCTGAAATTTTAAACTGATAGCATTTTCCTTTTTGCGATATGTTCATAATGTCTAGAGGGCAAACCGATTCAATCACTTCTATGTTAATCTCTTGTGCGTCTGTTTTTATGGAAAAGGTGCCTTGGACCCCAAATTCAGCATTCGTCATCAAAAATAATTTGCATTTGCGCAAAGCGGATTCCTTTTTAAACGATTCAAAATATTTTTTTATCGCAAAATTTGCCTTTGGGGCTGTCGTCGTAAGATCACCTATAGTTATACACTTTTTGTTTTGTACATGTTTTAGTTGTATTGCATATGTTTCTCTAGGATTTTCTAATTCCAAAACAACATCGTCAAAATCGCCGAAATCTTCGTTATTAGACGATATCAGAAAATTATTTATGTTATCATTTTCAGTAAGTTTGAGCGCCATATGTGCGAGAAAGTACAGTTCGTACTCTTTTCCTTTATCAGTTGTCCCACGGCGTTTTTTAAATTTCTAAAATAAAAATTACGCTGTAAAATATGACCGAAAATGTTCCTTCAAAAATACTACACAATATGTATACTGACAAGGATCATATTCAGAACCTTCTATGAAAATTCCTTTGAACTTTCACACCGTAATGTACTTATCTTGATGACCAAGAATATAAAATTTGTACAATCGCACGCAAATGTTTTGAGCCTATGGGCGGATCGTTTTTGCCTGCCCTCACCGAAGAAGGTGTTCCAAATCCTTCAAGGGCAGAATTTGTAGGTAGGCTCAAACTACAACGAAATTTACATTTGGTAAGAAATATTTATGGCTCACACCAGTTCTCTCGAATTTGTCGGAGAAGATTTAGCAGGTAGTTGTTCCCATAAAATAATGAATAATCGAATAATTTGAAATCTTGCAGATGTTTTAAAGTCATGATAAACATGATTTAATTAAAATATATTTGCTTATCCCCTCTAAAAAATTTATGACGTCACCTCAAAATTTTGCAGAATAAATCCTATCTTAAATGTATAAAATATGATGAGTTTTTATACTTGTGATTTATCACTGCATTAATATTTTTTAGATTTGATTATACAGGGTGTCTCAAAAAAGTTAATGACTGAGTCAATTTATTTTATTGAAGAAATCAAGAATAGCAAAACTGAATACTTTGAAATATTGTAATGTTTTGAAGTTTTTGTAAGCATGGTAACTTTTTCGAAAATTTGATTAATCAAATATGCGCAAAAAACAGAAAATCGAAAAATACAAATCGTAAAAATCGGAAATCTAAAAATGGCTAATCAAAAAATCGAAAATTCAATGAATCAAATACCTAGGTCGATCGAAAAGTGGAAATTCACAAACCTCAAAAATCGAAAAATCGAAAATTGAAAAACGGGATAACCAAAAAATCGAAAAGTCAAAAATTTGTAGTATTGAGAATTAAAAAAATTGCAAAGCCTAAAACGAACAGAAAATCTAAAAAGCAAAAAATTGGAAAAACAAAAATTCCAAAAAATCTAGAATCGAAAAAGTGGAAAATCGAAAATCTGAATAAAGAAACTTGGAAATTCTGAAAATTGGAAAATCGAAAACCAAAAAATCGGCAAGTAACAAAATTGAAGTCTAACACTTGAGAATAGAAAAACTGAAAAACCGAAAATTCTAAAAATCGACAATGGACAAATTGAAAATCGCAAAATTTAAATTGAACAATTGAACATAGAAAAATCGATGAATTGAAAAATCGAAAATTTGACTACTCAAATTTTCTAAAAATCGAAAAATCATAAAACTGAAAAATCCAAAATTCTAATGATCGAAAGTCTGAAAACTGAAAATCGAAAATTCTGAAAAGCGGAAAATAGAATATCGAAAAATTTAAAAGAAAGAAAATTGAAGTCTAAAAACCGAAGAATGGAAAAATTAAAAATCAAAAATTCGAAAAATCAAAACCGAAAAATTCAAAGATTTAAAAAGAAAATCGAAAAATCAAAAATCTGAAAATTGAAACTCGAAAATTTGGAAAATCGAAAAGTAAAAAAATTGAAGTCTAAAAGCTGAAAAATGGAAAACTGAACAATCGAAAATTCGAAAATTCAGTGAATCTAATACGTAGGTCGATCGAAAAACTGGAAATTCACAAATCTGAAAAATCGAAAATTTACAAGATTGAAAAACCGAGAATTGAAAAATTAAAAAACCGAAAAATGGAAAAATCAAAAATCGAAAAATAGGAAAACCGAAAATTCAAAAATTCATAATATTGAAAACTCTAAAAGTCGACAATTCAAAAATCAAAAAATTGGAAAGTAAAATAATCGAAAAATCGAAAAGTAAACAAATTGCAAAGCCTAAAAACTGACGAACAGAAAAATCGAAAAATCGTAAAATCAAAAAGTGGAAAATCGAAAACTGGAAATTGAAAAATCGAAGATCGGAAAATCGAAAAATCGAAAATCGGAATATCGAGAATCGACAAATTAAAAAACCGAAAAACGAAAAATTAAAAAATCGGAAATCGAAAAATGAAAAAAAAAACCAAAATTCAAAAATCGAATAATCCGAAACTAAAATAATAGAAAAGTGGAAAAGTAAAAATTGCAAAGTCTCAAAATTGACGAACAGAAAAATCGAAAAAAAAAATCGCACAATATCTAAAAATGGAAAATCGAAAAATCGAAAATCGGAAAATGGAAAAACCGAAAAATCGAAAATCGAAAAATCGAAAATTCGATGAAACAAATACTCGAAAAAACGAAAAGTAAAAAAATTGCAAGGCCTAAAAATTGAAAAATCAAAAAATCGGAAAAATGAAAATCGAAAAAACGACGATCGAAAAAAAATAAAAAAATCGAAAAGTAGAAAATCGGAAAGTAACAAAATTGAAATCTAAAAGCTGAAGAAGGGAAAATTCTAAAAAGCAACAACCGAAAAAAGCAAAATTAAAAATTGAAAATTTGAAAAATGGAAAATCGAAAACTCGAAGATCGAGATTTTGAAAAATCGTAAAAATGATAATCGAAAAATCGAAATGCTCAAAAATCTAAAATTCGATTATTCAATATTCTAAAAATCGAAAAAACGGACACAAATCCACAAATCTGAAAAATCGAAAATCAAAATGCGAAAAATTAAAAAACCGAAAAATTGAAAAATCCCAAATCGAAAAATGGAAAAACCGAAAATTCAAAAATCAAACTATCGAAAAGTAAAATAATCGAAAAATGGAAAAATAAAACAAATTGCAGAACCATAAAAACTGAAACAAACAGAAAAATCGAAAAACCACAAAAGCGGAAAAACGAAAATCGAAAAATCGTAAAATCAGAAAATGGAAAATCGAATAATCGAAAGTTGAAAAATCGAAGGTCGAGAAATAAAACAACCGAAAAATCGAAAAATTTAATGATTAATGGAAAATCGAAAACTCGAGAATAGAAGAATTAAAAACGTAAAATCGAGAATTCAAAAATCAAAAAAATCGGAAAGTAAAATATAATCGAAAAATGCCAAAAAATTGCAAAATCTAAAAACTGACGAACAGAAAAATCCAGAAATCTAAAAATGGAAAGACGAAAAATCGAAAATTGAAAGAATGGCAAATCAAAAAATCGAAACATCGAAAAATCAAAAAAACGAAAAATTAAAAAATCGAAAAATACCGCAAATTTGAAAAATCAGAAAATTTGAAAGTAATAAAATCGAAAAGTTGATAGAAAAATTGAAACTGAAAAATCTAATTCGATGAAATGGTTGGTCGAAAAAACGAAAAATCGAAAATCGAAGTGATCTTTTTTTGAGACAGGCTGTATAAGTAAATCTAAAAAATATTACTGCAATGATAAATCACAGGTATAGACTCATCATATCAAATTTTACGATGACGTCATGCATTTTTTGGCGAAGATAAGCAAATACATTTTGATCGTGGCTTTGAAAATATTCTTCGACTTTTGTTCCATTTCAAAATTTACTCTTTGTATATTTCAGTGGTCACAACGAGTTCACTAACTACGCTGAAGTATGCGAAGATTAAGTTTGTCACCGAAAAGATGTCGGTCGAAGAACGTTCGGCCCGGTGTTACACCTCGACTCAAGAGAGACCGCAGTAAAGGATAACAAATGAAACGGATAAAGTCAAACATGATTGATACTTTAAACCAAATTTATGAAGTTTATAAACTGAACATTTTTTTTGTTTTTTGAAATGTAGTACTCTTCAAAAAATGTCCGTGACTTATTTTAATATGAATTTTATAACTATGGTTGGCACAATTAGACCTAATATTAGTGTGATTTTGAGCATATTCTCGATTTTATTAGAGCAGAATAGGTTTTTTTTTGTAATTTTATAACTTACGGAAACTAATAGTAGGTACATCACAGGTATTGCAAAAAAAATTGGGCTCAGGTTCCAACTAATTGACAAGATTTCAAAGTATTCAGTTTTGCAATTCTTGATTTCTTCAATAAAATAAATTGACTCAGTCATTATTTTTTTTGAGTCACCCTGTATGTATAAACAAATCCAAAAAATATAAATGGAATGGTAAATCACAAGTATAGACTCATCATATTCTGAACATTTTAGATAGGGTATTTATAAAATTAAAACTAATTCAGAGTAAGAATTTGGTCAACACGTAAATTTCGTTGTAGTTTGAGCCTACCTACAAATTCTGCCCTTGGACGATTTGGACCGCCTCCTTCGGTGACGATCGGCAAAAATGATCCGCCCATAGGCTCAAAACATTTGCGTGCGATTGTACCACCACCTAATGGTATAAATGACATTTATTACCCATGAAATTTTGGTATAATTCATATATGGGAGCCAGTCACAATTGTTTTTTTTTTTTATTAAGTAGTGTTTTTGCCCTACCTTATTTATCCTTCCTGTTTTCCTTCTGTTCTTTTCGTTTTGGTCTTCTTTTGTTGCAGTAATTTTATCCTGAAAGAATAGATTTCAAACGTTATTACCTTTTGTTTTTTCATCAATCATTTCAAGTTGGTCGACTAGCACCATCTAGAGGACCATATTTGTTATTAAAAATGTTTATTTAAATAATATGTTACAGTCGAATTTTCAACGTTCAATTTTCTATGAAACTTGATTATACTAAACTACTTCTTAATTGCTTAAACTTAGTAAAAGAAGAAAAATACCTTTCTTGGTGGTACATCCAGTTTTATAGCTTTGTCCTGACTTTCAACTTTTGTGTTACCTTGAGTGATTTGTTCCTGAAACAAATATTTTTATAAATACAAAAACATAATTTGTTTATAAATGTAAACGTTTCGTAAACATTTTTACTACAAAAATGAATAAATCTAAACATATAATATACTACACTAAGAAAGTAAAAACAGGGTGTTTGAAGAAAATACGTGCACAGAAGTATAACATTAAAATGAGCAAAAGTTTACCTTTTGTGGCTGTACATACGATATATGGTGTTGGCGGTAATTCTTAAATTGTGTATTACTTCCAGTGATTTGTTCCTGCAAAAGATATTTTTATGAATTACAGTATTTACATAAATATAAAAAAATTGGGGAAAAATTCTCAACAAAAAAGGAATTACTTTTCTATTTTTTTTTTTTTTTTACTAAGAAATAGTGATTTACTTACCACTTTGCCCTCTAGTCGCTGGAGTTCTTCTAAAAGTTCAAGACAGTTTCTATCAAATGATTCTGCTATTTGGTGCGTGTTTCCACACTCCACAAACCTGACTTGCTCTAACAATTGACGATGATAATTTTTAATTAATGTTGCCAGTTCTTTTATTCTAGTGAGGTCCATCTCTGAAAATAGTTCCTACGTAGAAATAATACTCTACTTCGAAGTTTTTAAAGTACCTAAGCGTTTATTTCCTCTTTCTTCCAGTATTTTTCACAAAATGTTGTAAACTTATATGAATAACACTCTAAAACTCACATTGGTGTAGTGTTAGTAGCTGTTATCTCTGAGTCATAATTTTTAAACATATTTTTAGCTATTCTTATCGCACGATATGAAATCCAAATAAAACTCATGGATTTTCCAATAGCGTCTGTGAATTTTACTTAATGGAATAGATAAATGAACTTAAAAAAATAAAGCCTACCTTTTTTAGCATTGAAAAGCTGGACAAGAGTAAATATTAGGTTTTTAATGATGGGTTTTCGACTGATATCTGAGTGTTAGTTTTTAAATGATACACATACATGTAACAATTTCAAAATCGAACTTATCTCACTGATTGATTATTGACTAGGTTTTATTTTTATTGTGATAAAAATATGGTCAAAATATATACTAATGTCCTAGAATTACATCAATTACTGTCCAGAGGAGGTATTAATTAGTTGATTCGTTGTTTTTATTCTGAAACATTTTTTTTAATAAATTTGCAAAATAACGTTAATGGAAGTATATTTTTATTTCCTGGGCGTAAGCTAATTTTACAATAATATATACAAAAGAGTTTTTACCCTAGATGTCCAAATTTTTGGAAAAAAAGTCAAAATTGTATAACATTTCCCAATTAAACTATGAAACTGCAAAAACGAATGCTCTGAAATCTTGCATACGTTTTAAAGTTATCATAACCGTGGTAAATCGTTAATCAAAATTTATTCGTTTCTCCACTCCCAAGAAATTGATGACGTCATCTTAAAACTTTGCCTAATAAATCCTTCCAGAAATGGGCAGAATATTGTGACTCTATACTTATGTTTTACCACTGATCTCGTAGTTTCTAGAATTACATCTTATTCAGTTCAGGCGTTTCAAAAAAATTAATGAATAATGGAATTTATTTTAGTGAAATACTCACTCCATTTTGTAATGCTTCTTTACATTTATGTTAATATTACGTACATATGTTTGTGTTAGTTTATAATAATAATATATAATACGTATAATAATTTTTTTAATTTTTCGAAAAATCTGGATTTATTTACTTTCGACCACAATTTTTTGTTTTTTCATTTCATTTTCTTCCAAATTTTTCAATTTTTCGTTGTTTCATTTCCTTTAGTTTTTCCATGTTTCTTTAGACTTTGTAATTTCTCTTTATTCAATTTTTGAAATTTTCAATCTGAGATTTTTCGGTTTTCCGATTTTTAAATTTTTCAATTGTGCTAAGATACGATTTTCTGATTTTTTTAATTTTCCTTATTTCCATTTTACAATACACATTTTGTTTTTTCGATTTTGCACTTTTTGATTTTAATCTTTCGATTTTGAGTTTCTCGTTCTTTCACTTTTAAGTTCTTGATTTCCAATTTTTAGATTGTTTAGTTTTCACTTTATACATTTTCGTTTTTCCATTTAAATTTTTCGATTTTACAATTTTGCAATTTTTTCAAATTTTTGATACAAAAAATCGAAAAACTAAAAAATTTCCGATCGAAGAAGTGAAGAAACGAATAGTTGAAGCACTGAAAAACCAAAATCGAGAAACTTAAATGTCGAAAAAATTAAAAAAATTAATGACTCGAAAAATTGGAAAGACCGAAAGACGAATCGAATCGAAAAATTGGAAAACCCAAATATTACTGGAAGATCGAAAAATTGAAAAATTAATATATCGATAAATTGAAAAATTAAAAGTAGAAAAATTAAAAATGGAAAAATTGAAAAATCGGATGAATCAGAAATTTTAAAATCCAGTAACTCAAAAATGGAAAATTATAAAATTAAAATTTCACATTGATAAAAATACTCAGATTATTTTTATTATCTTTACAATTATTATGGTATTAAGTTCATCTAGATGCGTTTCTAAAGTATTAAAACATATTTTTTCGTTACCGGATGAACGATTTTGACGTTCAAAAGATAAGGGAAGTATTTAAGTGCCACTACAATGTAGCATCTTTTTTTATATGTGAACAATAAGATAACTCCACATTTTTGATACTAAATATATTAAAAGGTAACTGCATCAGTCGTAAAAGCGTCAGTAAGTACTTAATGATTATCTGATCTGATTATGAGATTGCTAAATTCCGAATGCTCTCTCTCTTATCTATTAGTAAGAAGCCGTTATTGTTCTTCGTTGTTTTTAAAAAGACATCTACTCAATGTCAGGTAAGTTGAACTTTCGCTACATCTAATAGTTATAATGAACTAAGAATTACCTTTTTTTACCAATTTTCGTCTTCTCCTTCGCATAGAAACGAGCTTAATATGAGTAATCCTGGCTGCGACCGTAAGCGCAATTCATAAGCCCACTTAATCCTCTCGTCTCGGGTGGAGTGGAACTGCAGATCTCTACGCATTCCGCTTGTCGTAGAAGCAATGTTGGGGTGGCAGCCAATGAGAACCTTAGCGTGATTGTGTAATTTAAATTTATTATCTGTTTTTTTGTCCAAAAGACAAAACCAGGAGTTATGACGAAAGATCAAATTGTTATCTATCATGACAAAAAAGAATCAAAAGACAAAACTGAACACCAGAGGTTACCAGGTACAGAGGCAGAGGAGCCAACAGCTCAGGTAAATTTATTCCCGTTTCGATAAACCTCAATAATAATTATTTTCTTTTTTGTGCAGAAAAATCTCACGGAAACAGAAAATCAAAGTGAAGTTAGACAAGAAAAAAAAATTGTTACAGACCAAAGTAAAGACTCGATAAAGGGTACCGACGACCCATCAGACCCCGGTCGCTCATCAGAGGTAATTTTGACAAAAAAATTCAAATAAATAACTTTGAAGAAACTATTTTTTGATAGAAGAGTCAAGCCAACATTTTCGGACCCAATCAACAAACTGAAGAAATTGTAGAAGAAAGCGTCCACCAAAAGACGAAACTAGAGAATGAAAAAGAAACAACAGAAAATTATTCTTGGGAAAAGGTAAGTTTAGACGATATAGTTGTGAACTTGTTTGTCTAACTCTCATTTAGACCTTCCGAAGACGACCAGGAACCCGCGACATGGGAAAACCATACGAAGACACGATAATCTCTAACATCATTCTAAACCTTCTAAACGACCACGAAATCCAAGACTTCCAAATTTCCTCAAACACCGACAACTTCGGAGACTTCGACGACGTAGTGATCGAAACTAGAACCTCCCGGGGCTTCAAAACCCGAGCCGTGCAGCTAAAACACAGCGACCGGCGCCGCCTAACCCTAAAACAACTGGCACGCAAAACCGGGGACTTCAGCCTAATCAAGTACTTCAACACCACCCGGAAAATCCAGCACAAAGCACACCGGTTTGTTTTGTTCACCACCCACGAGTTCCAACCAGAAAAACCTAAATTCAAACTCGAAGGGGAAAATTTTTTTCTGGAGTTTGTGAAAGTGGTGGTTGCTGACGAGAGTTTAAGAATGTCGGACAAAGAAAATTGCTGCTACATTTTTCGGATTGTGGAAGACGAGGAGAATGTTGGAAAAATCCAGGAATATGGGGCGTTTTTCGAGCAGTTTTGTCTTTATACTGACCAGGAGCGTTTGGAGACGCTTAGAGTGTCCACGGTGAATAAGTTCATGAGGATGTTTGGTGCCAAGGAGGAAGCGTTTGAGAAGTACTTCAAGATCGTCTCGGAGTGGAGTCTGGAAGATGGGATTAAAGATAAGTTGGATAAAAATAGGATGCAACGAACTATTGCTTTAGGGATTTTGTCGCCCCAAATCGAGTGTTTGGTTTTTGGTCAGGTCACCGACAAAATGAGAGTCCTTCGGGATGCTATTTTTCCCTTTGATTTGACTTTGGTGCAAAAAAGTAGCGGTGAGGTTGTTAGACGGTTGTGGGGAGACGCGGCTGACACTATAGATTTAAACGAATTAAATAAGCTAAGGTCCACCTACGGTCTATCTTCCAACTACATCAACAAGCTAGAAGACATAGATGGAAAAATATTGGCACAATTGTTATGGTTGATGAATAAAACTCCCCTAATTGTCAACGAACATGTCAATATGTCAAGAGCCATTCGTCTATGTTCTGATGCTAAATTCATTCTGCTTGGTGATGGAAAAAGAAAGATATGGATGAAATATTATACAGTGTTCCAGAGCCTGCTCAGTTTGAAGTTAAAGTCAGATTTGTATAACAAAGTGACGCAAAATTTTACCATTTCGTTGCAAGGCAAAGCAACACTAACTCTGGTGGAAGCTTTTGGAAGCAACGAAGATTTTTTGAGACATCTAACCTTGAATAACCTTCTAGAAATGCTAAATGGGCCACGCTTGATTGGCGGTGACAAGGAAACTCTTCCCATTCCGTACATAGAACGAAGTGTGTCCCTAAACATCATCGACATCAAGTATTTAAATCACGTTAGCAACAACACTGTCATTATTCTCAATTGTGAAGACCATCCCGAGGAAGTGAAGCGACCCAGTAAACATAGCTTGACAGAAATCGACGATTTTTTGGACAGCCCGAACCATCGAACCTTGTTGGTGCCCATTTTCGTCGTCAGCAAAAATAGATGTAGCCAGTCTGAGTTTGACAAAGTTTGCTCCGAAACACTGCAACCAAAAACAGTCCACTATTTTAAATTTCTTAGTAACAAGAATCTAGAATGGGTGCGAAGCAGAGGCGATATTAGTGAGTTGCACAATTATAAATTGGGTGGTCATTCTAGAAACGAAACCGAATTTTGGTCGTTCGACTTCATCAAGACCATTAATTTAGTGATAGGCGATCCGGGGATGGGGAAAACTGAATTAACTAAAAGCTTGAAAAACAAGTGTCCTTGTGACTACTGGACGGTAATCGTCACCCCCCAAGAAGTCAATTTATTCTACAAACAATCAAAAGACCGTAATTATCTAAATTCTTTCCAAACGTTTATTTTAGACGAAAAATATCACCATCTAGACCGGCTAGACAAAGCGTATTTCAGAATGTGTGTCAAGCAAAATCGTGTTTTCTACGTTTGGGACGCGCTTGATGAAATTTTGACCAAGTATTTAGACTCCGTTTCGACTTTGATTGTCCAGTTGTCGGACCAAGGTTTCACCCAGTGGGTCACCTGTAGACGACATCTGAAATCTTTTTTAGAAAAAAAGTTCCGCGTGCTCTCGGTGAGTATAAACCAGTTCAACGAACGCGAACAGGAAGATTATCTTCGGACGCGTCTTGACAACATGTCAGACGATGTAGAAGCAGCTATTGACAAAGTCAAGTCGAATTTTGCTTTCATCAAACATGTAGATATTTTGGGAATCCCGCTCCAGATTTTCATGCTCACGGAAATAATTCGCCAAAATACGGAAAAATATCTAAAGTTGCTCGATAATTCGTTCCTTTTGACTGATCTATATCACTACTTTATTGACACTAAGTTTGAGCTTTTTTATCAGAATAAGTTATCAATTGATGTTCAGGAACCCAATCTGAAGCGCCTCGTCGACAGAGACAAGAAAACATTGTTAGCGTATTGTGAAAAGTTGGCACTTGGTGCGATATTTCCGGAAGGTGCAGATGTCAACAATCTAGACGATGTAGATAACGTTCTTCATGATTGTGCCTCCATTGGTATTATAACGGGTTTAGTAAACAACACCCCCCAGTTTTTACACGCTTCTTTCGCCGAATATTTGGTTGCAGTTTACTTTTCCAAAAATTTTGAGATCATACCAAGGGATACTTTTTTTGATCAGAAGTACAACAACGTCCGATTTTTCTTTGATATGTTGCTAGCACGAAACTCTCCGGCTCATATTGCGGTCTTGTATAGAAACTGTGACGTTTTGAAACACTATGACGACGAAATGTTGAGACGGAAGGATGGGGGTGGGAGAAGCGCCTTGCATTTGGTTTGTTCGTGGGGTCAAAGACGGTCTCGTCTGGCGGTGACGAAGTCCAAGGTACCCAGAAATTGCTCTTATTTTATTTTTCTTTTGGTCAAAAAAATAGTTTTTTCGGAAAACGTGACTAGTGAGAAGTTTGTTATTCAGGACTATGATACTTTAAGTGGGGAGATAGAGACAAGGGGGTATTTAGATGGGGTACTACATTTGATGAATAAGTGCGACGTTTTCGAACCGGATGGGCTACTTGGAATGACACCTTTGTGGTATTCTAGGATTAGCGAAAGTTTAGGTGTGGAATTAGAATTACTGAAGTTTCAAAAATTGAGGTTAGATCAACCTTACTCCGAATTCGATAGAATTAATATTTTGTATTATTCTGCTCTCTTTGGGTACGACGACGTGGTTAAAGTATTTAGCGACGAACAATTACCTACTTACGGCGAAGTCAATTTTGTTACGACAGATGACAATATTACACCTCTTATAATAGCGTGCTCTAACGGCTACAAAAAAATCGTCGACTATTTATTGATTTGTGGGGCCGAAATCAACCACGGTGATGATGACGGTCGGACACCACTTCACGCTTCTTCCGAAAACGGCCACCAAAAAACAGTCCACAGTTTAGTAAAATCCGGGGCCAAAATCAATTGTTGCGACAACCATGGTCGGACTCCTCTTCATGCAGCTTCTACCCAAGGTCACGAAAAAATCGTCGCCTACTTAGTAAAATCCGGCGCCGAAGTCAATCGTCCTGATAATGACGGTCGGACACCACTTCACGCTTCGTCCGAAAACGGCCACTTAAAAACCACCCTATATTTACTAAATTCCAACGCCAAAATCAACTTCCCCGACAATGACGGTTCCACTCCTCTCCACTCAGCTTCTGAAAACGGCCACCTGAAAATCGTTGAACTTCTTTTGAAATTCGGAGCTGAAATCGACCGTGCTGATAACGACGGTTGGACGCCGCTCTACGCGGCTGCCTACAACGGCTACAAGAAAACGGTCGAGTGTTTGGTTCGTTCCGGGGCGGAGATTAACCGCGCCGATTGTGGGCGGTCGCCGCTTTACGCGGCGTGTGAGAAGGGGCACGGAAAAACGGTCGAGTATTTGGTGAGATCGGGTGCCGAGTTCGATCGGGCGTCTACTTATGGATGTACGCCCCTTTTTGGGGCTGCGGCTAATGGGCATGCAGGAATCGTTAGGTTCTTGGTGGAGCTTGGGGCGGGGATTAACTGCGCCGATGATGGGGGGCGGACGCCGCTTTACGCGGCTGCGGAAAACGGACGCAGGAATGTCGTGGAGTACTTGGTGGAGTGCGGGGCGGAAGTCAATAGGGCTGATAATTATGGGTGGACGCCGCGGCGTGCGGCGTCTTTTAGGAAACATACGGAAATAGAGGTGTTTTTGGAGTCGAGGGGAGCGAGGGTGTCGTTACAGTTGAACCATAAGTTAAGTGATGAGTCATTGAATATTTCCATTGGTTAAAGTATTTTCTGGAATGATCTCAAAGGGTGTGATAGGTTGGGTTTGCTTGTTGACACTAGACTGACGAAACGCTTCTGCTTCGACTTAATTATAGCTAAGAAGTTTAGTTTTCTTCAAACAAATTCAATTTCGTGTTTTGTGTTTCGGCTTTAAGTCATAGTTTGTAATTTGATTGTAACATAAATAAAATCACTGTGATAATTTCCGTCGGTTATCCTAAACCGGATCTAGAACTCTTTGTGAGCTTTACAGGGTGTTCAAGAAACGAGGAACTGAAAAGGGAAATCAAGAATTATTGTGAAAGTTCATCGCTCTATAAAACCATGTTTGTATTATTTTTATGTTGAAATGAAGTTGTTTGAAGTTTGTTTCACTACTATGAATGAAAGTATATTTTTACTTCCTGAGAGTAAGCTAATTTCACAATAATATACGTATATTTTTTAATTTTATAAAATAAGATACTCCTGTACTTTTGGTGTATGAATCCGTCTTGAATTTTCACCCTAGACGTCTAGATTTTTTGAAAAGAAAAATCAAAATTGCTTTGAAACTGAAAAACCGGATGCTCTAAAATCTTGGATACGTTTGAAAGTTATCGTAACCGTGGTAAATCGTTAATCAAAATTTATTCGTTTATCCCCTCCCAGGAAATTGATGACGTCATCTTAAAACTTTGTCTAATAAATGCTTCCTGAAATATGCAGAATATTATGACTCTAAACTTGTGGTTTACCACTGATCTCGTAGTTTCTAGAATCACATCTTATTCAGTTCAGGTGGTTCAAAATTAATGAATAATGGAATTTATTTTAGTGAACTACTCACTCCATTTGACACAACTGTTTTTTTACATATGTTTATGTAACTTTATAATAATAATATATAATACGTATAATACATTTTTTAATTTTTCGAAAAATCTGGATTTATTTACTTTCCACCAATTTATGACACCACAATTTTTTGTTTTTTCATTTCATTTTCTTCCAAATTTTTCAATTTTTCGTTCTTTCATTTCCTTTAGTTTTTCGATGTTTCTTTAGACTTTGTAATTTCTCTTTATTCAATTTTTGAAATTTTCAATCTGAGATTTTTCGGTTTTCCGATTTTTAAATTTTTCAATTGTGCTAAGATACGATTTTCTGATTTTTTTAATTTTCCTTATTTCTATTTTACAATACACATTTTGTTTTTTCGATTTTGCACTTTTTGATTTTAATCTTTCGATTTTGAGTTTCTCGTTCTTTCACTTTTAAGTTCTTGATTTCCAATTTTTAGATTGTTTAGTTTTCACTTTATACATTTTCGTTTTTCCATTTAAATTTTTCGATTTTACAATTTTGCAATTTTTTCAAATTTTTGATACAAAAAATCGAAAAACTAAAAAATTGCCGATCGAAGAAGTGAAGAAACGAATAGTTGAAGCACTGAAAAACCAAAATCGAGAAATTTAAATGTCGAAAAAATTAAAAAAATTAATGACTCGAAAAATTGGAAAGACCGAAAGACGAATCTAATCGAAAAATTGGAAAACCCAAATATTACTGGAAGATCGAAAAATTGAAAAATTCATATATCGATAAATTGAAAAATTAAAAGTAGAAAAATTAAAAATGGAAAAATTGAAAAATCGGATGAATCAGAAATTTTAAAATCCAGTAACTCAAAAATGGAAAATTACAAAATTAAAATTTCACATTGATAAAAATACTCAGATTATTTTTATTATCTTTACAATTATTATGGTATTAAGTTCATCTAGATGCGTTTCTAAAGTATTAAAAAATATTTTTTCGTTACCGGATAAACGATTTTGACGTTCAAAAGATAAGGGAAGTATTTAAGTGCCACTACAATGTAGCATCTTTTTTTGATATGTGAACAATAAGATAACTCCACATTTTTGATACTAAATATATTAAAAGGTAACTGCATCAGTCGTAAAAGCGTCAGTAAGTAATGATTATCTGATCTGATTATGAGATTGCTAAATTCCGAATGCTCTCTCTTATCTATTAGTAAGAAGCCGTTATTGTTCTTCGTTGTTTTTAAAAAGACATCTACTCAATGTCAGGTAAGTTGAAATTTCGTTACATCTGATAGTTATAATGAACTAAGAATTACCTTTTTTTACCAATTTTCGTCTTCTCCTTCTCATAGAAACTAGCTTAATTTGAGTAATCCTGGCTGCGACCGTAAGCGCAATTCATAAGCTTACTTAATCCTCTCGTCTCGGGTGGAGTGGAACTGCAGCTCTTTACGCATTTCGCTTGTCGTAGAAGCAATGTTGGAGTGGCAGCCAATGAGAACCTTAGCGTGATTGTGTAATTTAAATTTATTATCTGTTTTTTTTTTTGTCCAAAAGACAAAACCAGGAGTTATGACGAAAGATCAAATTGTTATCTATCATGACAAAAAAGAATCAAAAGACAAAACTGAACACCAGAGGCCACCAGGTACAGAGGCAGATGAGCCAACAGCTCGGGTAAATTTATTCCGGTTTCGATAAACCTCAATAATAATTATTTTCTTTTTTGTGCAGAAAAATCTCACGGAAACAGAAAATCAAAGTGAAGTTAGACAAGCGGAGGAACAAATTGAAAAACCGGGAAAAATTGTTACAGAGTTGATAAAGGGTACCGACGACCCATCAGACCCCGGTTGCTCATCAGAGGTAATTTTGAAAAAATATTCAAATAAATAAATTTCAAGAAACTATTTTTTGATAGAAGAGTCAAGCCAACATTTTCGGACCCAATCAACAAACTGAAGAAATTATAGAAGAAAGCGTCCACCAAACGACGAAACTCGAGAATGAAAAAGAAACAACAGAAAATTATTCTTGGGAAAAGGTAAGTTTAGACGATATAGTTGTGAACTTGTTTGTCTAACTCTCATTTAGACCTTCCGAAGACGACCAGGAACCCGCGACATGGGAAAACCATACGAAGACACGATAATCTCTAACATCATTCTAAACCTTCTGAACGACCACGAAACCCAAGACTTCCAAATTTCCTCAAACGCCGACAACTTCGGAGACTTCGACGACGTAGTGATCGAAACTAGAACCTCCCGGGGCTTCAAAACCCGAGCCGTGCAGCTAAAACACAGCGACCGGCGCCGCATAACCCTAAAACAACTGGCACGCAAAACCGGGGACTTCAGCCTAATCAAGTACTTCAACACCACCCGGAAAATCCAGCACAAAGCACACCGGTTTGTTTTGTTCACCACCCACGAGTTCCAACCAGAAAAACCTAAATTCAAACTCGAAGGAGAAAATTTTTTTCTGGAGGTTGTGAAAGTGGTGGTTGCTGACGAGAGTTTAAGAATGTCGGACAAAGAAAATTGCTGCTACATTTTTCGGATTGTGGAAGACGAGGAGAATGTTGGAAAAATCCAGGAATATGGGGCGTTTTTCGAGCAGTTTTGTCTTTATACTGACCAGGAGCGTTTGGAGACGCTTAGAGTGTCCACGGTGAATAAGTTCATGAGGATGTTTGGTGCCAAGGAGGAAACGTTTGAGAAGTACTTCAAGATCGTCTCGGAGTGGAGTCTGGAAGATGGGAATAAAGACAAGTTGGATAAAAATAGGATGCAACGGACTATTGCTTTAGGGATTTTGTCGCCCCAAATCGAGTGTTTGGTTTTTGGTCAGGTCACCGACAAAATGAGAGTCCTTCGGGATGCTATTTTTTCCTTTGATTTGACTTTGGTGCAAAAAAGTGGCGGTGAGGTAGTTAGACAGTTGTGGGGAGACGCGACTGACACTATAGATTTAGACGAATTAAATAAGCTGAGATCCACCTACGGTCTATCTTCCAACTACATCAACAAGCTAGAAGACATAGATGGAAAAATATTGGCACAATTGTTATGGTTGATGAATAAAACTCCCCTAATTGTCAACGAACATGTCAATATGTCAAGAGCCATTCGTCTGTGTTCTGATGCTAAATTCATTCTGCTTGGTGATGGAAAAAGAAAGATATGGATGAGATATTATACAGTGTTCCAGAGCCTGCTCAGTTTGAAGTTAAAGCCAGAATTGTATAACAAAGTGACGCAAAATTTTACCATTTCGTTGCAAGGCAAAGCAACACTAACTCTGGTGGAAGCTTTTGGAAGCAACGAAGATTTTTTGAGACATATAACCTTGAATAACCTCCTAGAAATGCTAGATGGACCACGCTTGATTGACGGTGACAAGGAAACTCTTCCCATTCCGTACATAGAACGAAGTTTGTCCCTAAACATCATCGACATCAAGTATTTAAATAACGTTAGCAACAACACTGTCATTATTCTCAATTGTGAAGATCATCCCGAGGAAGTGAAGCGACCCAGTAGTAAACATAGCTTGACAGAAATCGACGATTTTTTGGACAGTCCGAACCATCGAACCTTGTTGGTGCCCATTTTCGTCGTCAGCAAAAATAGATGTAGCCAGTCTGAGTTTGACAAAGTTTGCTCCGAAACACTCCAACCAAAAACAGTCCACTATTTTAAATTTCTTAGTAACAAGAATCTAGAATGGGTGCGAAGCAGAGGCGACATTAGTGACTTGCACAATTATAAATTGGGTGGTCATTCCAGAAACGAAACCGAATTTTGGTCGTTCGACTTCACCAAGACCATTAATTTAGTGATAGGCGATCCGGGAATGGGTAAAACTGAATTAACGAAAAGCTTGAAAAACAAGTGTCCTTGTGACTACTGGACGGTAATCGTCACCCCCCAAGAAGTCAATTTATTCTTCAAACAATCAAAAGACCGTAATTATCTAAACTCTTTCGAAACGTTTATTTTAGACGAAAAATATCACCATCTAGACCGGCTAGACAAAGCGTATTTCAGAATGTGTGTCAAGCAAAATCGTGTTTTCTACGTTTGGGACGCGCTTGATGAAATTTTGACCAAGTATTTAGACTCCGTTTCGACTTTGATTGTCCAGTTGTCGGACCAAGGTTTCACCCAGTGGGTCACCTGTAGACGACATCTGAAATCTTTTTTTGAAAAAAAGTTCCGCGTGCTCTCGGTGAGTATAAACCAGTTCAACGAACGCGAACAAGAAGATTATCTTCGGACGCGTCTTGATAACATGTCAGACGACGTAGAAGCAGCTATTGACAAAGTCAAGTCGAGTTTTGCTTTCATCAAACATGTAGATATTTTGGGAATCCCGCTCCAGATTTTCATGCTCACGGAAATAATTCGCCAAAATACGGAAAAATATCTAAAGTTGCTCGATAATTCGTTTCTTTTGACTGATCTATATCACTACTTTATTGACACTAAGTTTGAGCTTTTTTATCAGAATAAGTTATCGATTGATGTTCAAGAACCCAATCTAAAGCGCCTCGTCGACAGAGATAAGAAAACATTGTTAGCGTATTGTGAAAAGTTGGCACTTGGTGCGATATTTCCGGAAGGTGCAGATGTCAACAATCTAGAGGATGTAGATAACGTTTTTCATGATTGTGCCTCCATTGGTATTATAATGGGTTTAGTAAACAACACTCCCCAGTTTTTACACGCTTCTTTCGCCGAATATTTGGTTGCGGTTTACTTTTCCAAAAATTTTGAGATCATACCAAGGGATAATTTTTTTGATCAGAAGTACAACAACGTCCGATTTTTCTTCGATATGTTGCTAGCACGAAACTCTCCGGCTCATATTGCGGTCTTGTATAGAAACTGTGACGTTTTGAAACACTATGACGACGAAATGTTGAGACGGAAGGATGGGGGTGGGAGAAGCGCCTTGCATTTGGTTTGCTCGTGGGGCCAAAGACGGTCTCGTCTGGCGGTGACGAAGTCCAAGGTACCCAGAAATTGCTCTTATTTTATTTTTCTCTTGGTCAGAAAAATAGTTTTTTCGGAAAGCGTGACTAGTGAGAAGTTTGTTATTCAGGACTATGATACTTTAAGTGGGGAGATAGAGACAAGGGGGTATTTAGATGGGGTACTACATTTGATGAATAAGTGCGACGTTTTCGAACCGGATGGGCTACTTGGAATGACACCTTTGTGGTATTCTAGGATTAGCGAAAGTTTAGGTGTGGAATTAGAATTACTGAAGTTTCAAAAATTGAGGTTAGATCAACCTTACTCCGAATTCGATAGAATTAATATTTTGTATTACTCTGCTCTCTTTGGGTACGACGACGTGGTTAAAGTATTTAGCGACGAACAATTACCTACTTACGGCGAAGTCAATTTTGTTACGACAGATGACAATATTACACCTCTTATAATAGCGTGCTCTAACGGCTACAAAAAAATCGTCGACTATTTATTGATTTGTGGGGCCGAAATCAACCACGGTGATGATGACGGTCGGACACCACTTCATGCTTCTTCCGAAAACGGCCACCAAAAAACAGTCCACAGTTTAGTAAAATCCGGGGCCAAAATCAATTGTTCCGACAACCATGGTAGGACTCCTCTTCATGCAGCTTCTATCCAAGGTCACGAAAAAATCGTCGCCTACTTAGTAAAATCCGGGGCCGAAGTCAATCGTCCTGATAATGACGGTCGGACACCACTTCACGCTTCGTCCGAAAACGGCCACTTAAAAACCACCCTATATTTACTACAGTCCAACGCCAAAATCAACTTCCCCGACAATGACGGTTCCACTCCTCTCCACTCAGCTTCTGAAAACGGCCACCTGAAAATCGTTGAACTTCTTTTGAAATTCGGAGCTGAAATCGACCGTGCTGATAACGACGGTTGGACGCCGCTCTACGCGGCTGCCTACAACGGCTACAAGAAAACGGTCGAGTGTTTGGTTCGTTCCGGGGCGGAGATTAACCGCGCCGATTGTGGGCGGTCGCCGCTTTACGCGGCGTGTGAGAAGGGGCACGGGAAAACAGTCGAGTATTTGGTGAGATCGGGTGCCGAGTTCGATCGGGCGTTTACTTATGGATGTACGCCCCTTTTTGGGGCTGCGGCTAATGGGCATGCAGGAATCGTTAGGTTCTTGGTGGAGCTTGGGGCGGGGATTAACTGCGCCGATGATGGGGGGCGGACGCCGCTTTACGCGGCTGCGGAAAACGGACGCGGGAATGTCGTGGAGTACTTGGTGGAGTGCGGGGCGGAAGTCAATAGGGCTGATAATTATGGGTGGACGCCGCTGCGTGCGGCGTCTTTTAGGCAACATAAGGAAATAGAGGTGTTTTTGGAGGCGAGGGGTGCGAGGGTGTCGTTACAGTTGAACCATAAGTTAACAGATGAGTCATTCAATATTTCCATTGGTTAAAGTATTTTCTGGAATGATCTCAAAGGACGTGATAAGTTGGGTTTGCTTGTTGACAATAGACTGACGAAACGCTTCTGCTTCGACTTAATTATAACTAAGAAGTTTAGTTTTCATCAAACAAATTCAATTTCGTGTTTTGTGTTTCGGCTTTAAGTCATAGTTTGTAATTTGATTGTAACATAAATAAGATCATTGTGATAATTTCCGTCGGTTATCCTAAACCAGATCTAGAGCTCTTTGTGAGCTTTACAGGGTGTTCAAGAAATGAAGAACTGAAAAGGGAAATCAAGAGTTATTGTGAAAGTCCATCGCTCTATAAAACCATGTTTGTATTATTACTTCCCGAGCGTAAGCAAAGGAAGTATTGTAATCGAATCCGTCGGCCGACTCTCTACTTTTACGTTTTCTCGATCTTTCATGACCCCTAGAAGACGAAGAAATAGGTCTCCCATTTCCGTCTGTCTGTCCGTCTGTCCGTCTGTCCGTCTGTCCGTCCGTCTGTCCGTCTGTCCGTCTGCCGTCCCGGATTTTTATTAGACAGATAATCTCCGAAAGTACTCGACCGATTGTTGTGAAATTTTGTACTTATATTAAGAATATCATGTAGATGGTAAAACGCTAACCAAAATTTGTCTAGTCATCCCCACCACTAATACGATGACGTCACTTCAAAATTGTACATAGTAAATGGGTTTTCAATTGTATAAAATAACATAGTCCTACACATGTAGTTTACAACTCTGAATAGACTTTTCACCCGAAGCTTCCAGATTTTTGGAAAAAAAATCAAAATTATAAAACAACGTTTTGAAATTTAATTTTTAATCTGCTAACCAGAATGCTTTGAAATGTTGCAGATGTTTTAAGGCTATAAAGAGCATCATAAATATTTAGTCAAAAAATATTTGCTTATCCCCTCCAAAAACTTGATGACGTCAGCTCAAAAGTTTGTGGAATAAATCATATCTAAAATGTACAAAATATGATGAGTCTGTACTTGTGATCTATCACTCCATTCATATTTTTTGGATTTGCATATACAGGGTGATTCAAAAAAATTAATGAAAGCGTAAATTTATTTTACTGATTTACTCAGAAACTACAAAACCGAATGCTTTGAAATCTTGCAGATGTTTTAACGTTATAAAGAGCATAATAAATGTTTAGTCAAAATATATTTGCTTATCCCCTCCAAAAAATTAATGACGTCATCCCGAAAGTTTGCCGAATAAATCCTATCTAAACTGTAAAAATATGATGAGTCTGTACTTGTAATTTATCACTCCATTCATATTTTTTGGATTTGCATATACAGGGTGACTCAAAAAAATTAATGAATGCGTAAATTTACTTTATTGATTTACTCAGGAAATACAAAACCATATTCTTTGAAATCCACTGCGAAAAAAAAACATAATAGGCATGCAGTCGTCACGTTTCCGACAGCAAGGGAAGTACTGTCTAAACTCTTTAGACCAATTTTTTTAAGTGAAAATTTTCCAATGGTCCCCCCTTCTTCACTTTGCGGCCAAATTTTGACATTTTCGAAACTTAATTAAACACATTTTCTTGTAGATTTCGAGCTCTACAACTCACTTCCAGAATCGTTTCTTTGATAACTGCAACCGTTTTTCCGGAATCGGCCGTTGAAATATCGAGATTTTTAGAAATTTTCAAAAATTCGCATTTCCTGAAAATTTTCCAATTTCCCCTTCTTCGCTGTTCGGCCAAATTTTGACATATTTTCCGCAATAGTTATTAATAATAAAGTAGAAATTCGCTAAAACGCCGCACTTTTACGCCAAACCGACGCGATAATCTTGCCGCCATCCAACAGAAATTAATAGTGAACACAAAGAACCGCGACACGTGACCTTCGGACAGCTAGCTCAGGTGACAGTGACGTCATCGTACGTCACGATGAGATTGCAAGAATTATTTTTCATATTTTGGCCGGGAAAATGCACATTTTCGGGGATAAATTAACAATTTTTAAACAAATTGATTTGTTTTTAATAATTTCGGACTTGTAGGGCAACGAGTTTCGATTTAATTATCATATTTATTTATGCTTATCATATTTAAACATTATAAGTGATATTAATTATGTTTAAAATTTATAAATTAATATCGTGCAAATGTATAGCTTTGATCAACCAACTTCAATCGTTTCGAAAATTTTCCCAAAATTTAAACATTGTCGAGTGAACGAATCACGGAATCCGATAAATTAAAACTGAGGTCGTACTTACCCTGTTTTCAGTCCTTTTCGGAAAAATATCCATTTCGTTCGTGTTTACAGTACTAATACAACACATTTTCACTAATATTTATTAATAATAAATTAGAAATTCGTGAAAAGAGCCCTACTTTTAAGCCAAAACGGAGCTCCAGTGTTGTTGCTACCAGACCGGAATCAAAACTAAACACAGAGGACCGAAAAATGTGACCTTTTATCAGGTAGGTCACGTGACAGTGACGTCATCGTACGTCACGATGAGATTGCAAAAATTATTTTTCATATTTTCGCTCAGAAATTGTACATTTTCGGGGTTAATTTAACAACGTTTAAACAAACTAATTTGTTTTTGCTAACCTCGTGTTCTTAGGAAAATGGTTTTCAGTTTAATTATCACATATTAATAGTTATCATATTTAAACATTATGAATTATATTAATTACGTTTAAATTTTATTTAATTATATCGCGAAAATGTATAGCTTTGGCCCACCAACTTCACCGATACATCGCAGCATAGATCTTTTATCAATAGTGCCAACGCAATGTTACAAATCACTAACATTGCTGATTTAGTGATGACGCTTATCAAAGAAACGACTCCTATTAAAGGTAGAAGTTGCCGAGGAAAAAAAGGAAAATGAAGGAAAAATTTGTTAACAACTTGTCTTCACATTTGTCCTTATAAATAATAAATTAAATGTAATACATTTTTGTTTCCTTAAGAATACAAAGTTAACAAAGTTAGTTGAGTTACAAAAGTCTCTTTTGCTCCACGTTGGCCACCAACGAGCGATTTTCAAGATTTTTGTGAAACTTTGCTGGTTTTGAATTTGAATTTTCTGTCCTCGATAGTTGATGCTCAGCAAGAACCACGGGAAGGTCTGGAGCAGATCTCGCTAGGAAAGGAGAGGGCTAGGATTTGTTAATGAGGGATAGAACGTTATACAGTACAATACAAAAGAAATACAATACAGGTACCTACAATCTAACTACAATACAGAATACACTACAGATACAGATACAATTTAGATACAAAACAAATGCAAAGTTAGTACCCAATTCATCACCGGAAGAAATTGCACCAAAAATTGAGAATGTTGCAAAATGAAAACCCAAGCAAGCACACCGATGGAACTCGGAACGAAATCTATTGGTCGCAGTGCTCGTTCGTCCAAGGCAGGAATGCAGCCGCATAAATCCAAGGCCGACTGACCTCATCCTTATAGGATGATGCGACCCAGCGTCTAAGGGCCAACAGAACCCCCCCAGACCAAGAGCTCCTGACGACATGGAGAATTCAGACCTGGAACCAAAGGATGCGCTGTTGCAAAATGAAAACCCAAGCAAGCACACCGATGGAACTCGAAACGAAATCTATAGGTCGCAGCGCTCACACGCCCAAGGGAGAACGCAGCCGCATAGATACAGGGCCGACTGACCTCATCCCTTTGAGATGATGAACCTCATCCTTTTAGGATGATGACCCAGCGTCTAAGGGCCCAGAGAACCCCCCCAGGCCAAAGCGTCTGACGACATGGAGAATTCAGTCTCGGAACCAAAGAATGCACTGTTGCAAAATTAAAACCCAAGCAAATGCACCGTGAAAACAAAGCATTTGCACCACTGGAGCTAAATTGGCAAGACCCAAGTTAAGTTAGTAACACATACAATATACAGTACAAAATGGTTCAATTACAAAAGTTACAATATACAAATTTCTCCACGTTTGCCACCAAAGAGCGATGACTGTGCTCGCTCGTTGTTGTTGCCCAGCAAGAACCAAACAATACGAGGAGGTCTGGAGTGCGTCTTGCCATGAGAAAAACAATAAATTAGAAATTCGCGAACACGGGCTACTTTTAAGCCAAAACGGAGCTCCGAATGCTAAGATGTTGCTGCCACCAGACCGAAATCAAAACTAACCGAAAACCGCAATATTTGTTCAGGTAGCTCTCGTGACAGTGATGTCATCAAACATCACGATGAGATTGTAAACATTATTTTTCATATTTTGACCGGAACATTTTTAATATGTTCACGTTTGTAGGAAAACGGCTTTAATTATATTAATTAATACTTATCATATTTAAACAGTATATATAAATTAAAACTACAACCGTATTTACTCCGTTTTTGGGAATTTTTGGAAAAATGCACACTTTGTTTCGTGTTCACAGAGCTAATGCAGAACATTTTCATTAATATTTATTATCAATCAATTAGAAATTCGCGAAAACGTGGTAGTTTTACGCCAGAACGGGGCTCCGAATGCTCCGACGTTGCTGCCACCAGATCGAAATCAAAACTGAACACAACGGACCGAAGACCGTGCCTTTGCTCAAGTGGTCACGTGACAGTGACGTCATGGTGTGTCACCATGAGATTACTAAAATTATTTTTCATACTTTGCCCGGAAAATTGCAATTCAACAATGTTTAAACAAATTGAATTGTTTAAATATTATTTAATTGTGTCATGATAGTTTCTTAGCAGTGTTTGCACGAGTTGATTTCATTAATAATTGTAAATCTGTCATTTATCACCATGTGTTATTATACACAACGAATAATTTTAAAAATAAATAAATAAATAAATTCGCCACTTAGTTGCGAAATTGTTTTCTTACTTTCCTTATTCGGAACAGACGTCTTCACGTGGTGAACGTTCAACTCAGACTGCCCAAAGGTGGCCGCCGACCTGTATATATACCGGTTGGCTGACGCAACAAGACGTTCGCGAATGTTCGGGAAGCTATTCCTTTGTCTGAATATGTCGTGACGTCACGATTCGCGACGTCACAATATGAATCTTTAATTTATCAACGTATTATTAGCAACTGAAATGTTTATATAAATCTTTTTAAACATTGTTTGTTTATATTTGTTAATTTACAATGTACAGGCTAAAAAAATTGTTAAATACTGGTTGGCTGACACAACAACACGTTCGGGAATGTTCGAGAAGCTATTCCTTTGTTTGAATACGTCGTGACGTCAAGATTCCCGACGTCACAATTTAAATCTTTAATTTATCAATGTTTTATTGGCAACTAAAATGTTTACATAAATCTTTTTTGGCATTGTTTGTTTATATTTGTTAATTTACAATGTACAGGCTAAAAAATTGTTAAATACTGGTTGGCTGACACAACAACACGTTCGGGAATGTTCGAGAAGCTCTTCCTTTGTTTGAATATGTCGTGACGTCACGATTCGCGACGTCACAATATGAATCTTTAATTTATCAATGTATTATTGGCAACTAAACTATTCATAGAAATCTTTTTCTAGACATTGTTTATATTTGTCAATTTACAATGTATAGGCTAAAAAATTGGTCAAAGGCTATTTCGACAGAACTTCCCTCGCTTCTGAAATACAGCCCAACAAATACTGCTTTTCTGAAAAATTATACCCATAAAATTTGATTTTAAAAAAGCCTAATTTTGACAAATTACGCTAATAAAATAGATTCTAATAAAATAGAGGGTGGGCGGGCGGGGTTACTGTCTGTAAATAAAAGATTGTAGAAAAAAGTTAAACTTAACCCCACCCACCGTGTTCTTTCATTTTTACTTCCCGAGCGTAAGCAAAGGAAGTATTGTAATCGAGTCCGTCGGCCGACTCTCTACTTTTACGTTTTCTCGATCTTTCATGACCCCTAGAAGACGAAGAAATAGGTCTCCTAATTCCGTCTGTCTGTCCGTCTGTCCGTCCGTCTGTCCGTCCGTCTGTCCGTCCGTCTGTCCGTCCGTCTGTCCGTCCGTCTGTCCGTCTGTACATCTGTCCGTCTGTCCATCTGTCCGTCTGTAGGTCTGTCCGTCTGTCCGTCTGCCGTCCCGGATTTTTATTAGACAGATAATCTCCGAAAGTACTCGACCGATTGTTGTGAAATTTTGTACTTATATTAAGAATATCATGTAGACGGTAAAACGCTAACCAAAATTTGTCTAATGATCCCCACCACTAATGCGATGACGTCACTTCAAAATTGTACATAGTAAATGGGTTTTCAATTGTATAAAATAACATAGTCCTACACATGTAGTTTACAACAACAATCGACTTTTCACCCGAAACGTCCAGCTTTTTGGAAAAAAAAATCAAAATTATAAAACAACATTTTGAAATTTAATTTTTAATCTGCTAACCAGACTGCTTTGAAATGTTGCAGATGTTTTAAGGCTATAAAGAGCATCATAAATCTTTAGTCAAAAAATATTTGCTTATCCCCTCCAAAAACTTGATGACGTCAGCTCAAAAGTTTGTGGAATAAATCATATCTAAAATGCACAAAATATGATGTGTCTGTACTTGTGATCTATCACTCCAATCATATTTTTTGGATTTGCATATACAGGGTGACTCAAAAAAATTAATGAATGCGTAAATATATTTTATTGATTTAATCAGGAACTACAAAACGGAATGCTCTGACATCTTGCAGATGTTTTAAGGTTATAAAGAGCATAATAAATGTTTAGTCAAAATATATTTGCTTATCCCCTCCAAAAACTTGATGACGTCAGCTCGAAAATTTGCCGAATAAATCATATCTAAAATGTACAAAATATGATCAGTCTGTACTTGTGATCTATCACTCCATTCATATTTTTTGGATTTACATATACAGGGTGATTCAAAAAAAATAAATGAAAGCGTAAATTTATTTTACTGATTTACTCAGGAACTACAAAACCGAATGCTTCGAAATCTTGAAGATATTTTAAAATTATCATAAGCATGGTAAATTTTTGATCAAAATGTATTTGGTCGTCCCCCCTAAAAAATTTATGACGTCACCACAAAATTTTGCTGAATAAATCCTATCTAAAATGTACAAAATATGGTGAGTCTCTTCTTGTGATTTATCATTCCATTCGAATTTTTTCGATTTGCATATACAGGGTGACTCAAAAAAATTAATGAATGCGTAAATTTATTTTATTGATTTAATCAGGAACTACAAAACCGAATGCTTTGAAATCTTGCAGATGTTTTAAGGTTATAAAGAGCATACTAAATTTTTAGTCAAAATATATTTGGTTATCTTCTACAAAAAACTGATGACGTCAGCTCAAAAGTTTGCCGAATAAATCGTATCTAAAATGTACAAAATATGATGAGTCTGTACTTGTGATTTATCATTCCATTCATATTTTTGGATTTGCATATGCAGGGTGACTCAAAAAAATTAATGAAGGCGTGAATTTATTTTATCGATTTAATCAGGAATTACAAAACCGAATGCTTTGAAATCTTGGAAATATTTTAAAGTTATTATAAGCATGGTAAACTTTTGTTCAAAATGTATTTGTTCATCCCTCCTAAAAAAATTGATGACGTCACCCTTAAATTTTGCTGAATAAATCCTATCTAAAATGCAAAAACTATGATGAGTTTTTACTTGTGATTTATCATTCCATTCATATTTTTTAGATTTTCTTAAGAGGTGGTTCAAAAAAATTAATGAAGTCAATTTATTTTACTGATTGAATTAAAGGCAACACTTATTATTAGTATTACACCCCAATCAACCCAATTTGGTAGACACAAAATGTGTTAAAGGAAAAACTCAGTTGAAACATTAGGGTAGCAAGCTTATTTACATCGACTTTAACATTACAGACCTGCATTTGTTTTATGCGCTCACTTGGTTCCGCGAATGTGGAATAGACATGTTCATAATCAACCAATTGTGAATTTCACCGTCAAGAATTAAAATAAAACCCAATGTTTTATATAATAAGCGGAAGTCGAAGCAATAAAACCGATGGTCGTTTTGTTTACAGTTTCTCTGTTTGACTCTCACGTATGCTGTTACGCTTGTCATCTTAATTTAAAAATGTTTATACATAAACGATTTTCAGTTGCCCCTCATATTACTAGACAGCGGATTTCTGTCGGGCTACGTCACGATTATAGGGGGGGACGTGCTGGATCGCTGGGTGATAGATAATCACTGAATTTAATCGGTACTAATTCCATAAATATAATTAACGATTTATTAATCAAACGGCTAAGTAAATGAGAACGGGAATTAACAGCAGAGTGAATTCGCATCCCGTACGAGCCGTACCGAGTTTGGCCTTGCCTAGCCCTACAGAAATCCGCTGTCTAGATATTACACACCGGCGCCGTATACGTGAGTAAATTGTTTCGTTATTTTATTGATTATAAGAAATCAATATTCAAAACGACCCAATTCATTTTCCCGAAAATTTGGGAATACAATAATTTTATTCTTAGTATTACACTACATCTATCCCAACTGATATACGTGTCCTTGCAAAAATGTTGATGACGTCATCACAATTTTTTTTTAAATTCCCACTACAAAAATGTAATGAGAAAAAAAAACACAATAGGCATGCAGTCGTCAAGTTTCCGACAGCGAGGGAAGTACTGTCTAAACTCTTTAGACCAATTTTTTTTATCTTGAAATGAAGTTGTTTGAAGTTTGTTTCACTACCATGAATGAAAGCCCCAAGTATATTTTTACTTCCTGAGAGTAAGCTAATTTTACAATAATATATGCATATTTTTTAATTTTATAAAATAAGATACTCCTGTACCTTTGGTGTATGAATCCGTGTTGAGTTTTTACCCTAGACGTCTAGATTTTTTGAAAAGAATAATCAAAATTGCTTTGAAACTGAAAAACCGGATGCTCTGAAATCTTGGATACGTTTGAAAGTTGTCGTAATTGTGGTAAATCGTCAATCAATTATGTGGTTTATCATTAATCTCACAGTTTTTAGAATTACTTATTCAAGGTGGCTCAAAAAAAATTGAATGAGGCAATTTAATTTATTAATTAATTCAAGAACGACTCACTAAATTTTCCAGAAATTTTGCGAATATAATACTGTTATTCCTAGTATTACATTGCATCTATCCAAATTAATAGATGTCTGTGGGAAAATGTGGATGGCGTCAAAATTTTGTAATGGAAAAACTCACCCGATACAAATTTTTTATTTTAAATCTTACGATTTTTAGAAAAGTTCGGAGTTATTTACTTTGGACCAATTTTTTGATATCGAAATTTTTTTCAATTTCTCAATTTCTTGACTTCCAAATTTTTCAATATTCGCTTTCTTTAATTTTTCTAGTTGCAATTTTTTTTTATTTCTGTTTTCTCTTCTCGATTTTATATTACAATATTTTGTTTTTTCATTTCTTTTACTTTTCAATGTTTCTTTCGATTTTATAATTTTTCGTTTATTCAATTTTTCAAATACAATTTTAATTTTTGGATTTTGAATTTTTTATTTCTTCAGTTGGTCAAGTTCTTGATGACCCATTTTTAGATTTATCAATTTTCATCTTACACATTTTCGTTTTTCCATTTTTCATTCTTCAAAAATTGAAAAATCGCAAAACTGAAAAAACGAAAAATTGCAAAATGGGGAAAGTGGAAAATCGAAAAATTGCAGATCGAAGAACTGAAGAAACGAAAAGTTGAAACACTGAAAAACTAAAAATCTAGAAATTTAAAATAAAAAAAAAAAATTATAAAACCCAAATATTGTATAATCTAAAAATTATGTAATCGTTAAAATTGTACAATTGCAAAAATGTGATTTTGAGATTTTAAAGATCTAAAAATAGAATAATTGAAAAATCGAATGAATCAAAAAGTTTTAAAATGCAATAATTTAAAAATGAAAAAATCGAAAATCTCTGATTGAAAAAAAAAATTATTAATTCAAAACTTTGCAAAATCGAAAAATTGAAAAAATAAAGAAAATAAAAAACCAAAAGGAAAAATTGAAAAACCCAAAAGCTGAAAAATTGGAAAACTGAAAAATTTTAAAATGAATACTCGAAGAGATAGTAAAATTGACGAACAAAAATATAAAAAAAATGAAAAATTGCAAATCGAAAAATTGAAGAAAAGAAAAATTGAAAAATCAGAAAGAAATAAAATCGCAATTTTGAAATACTGAAAAACTGTAAAAATAAAGAAAATAAAAAACCTAAACGAAAAATTGCAAAATTGAAAATCCATAAATTCAAATCGAAAAGTTTCAAAATCTAAAACTTGAAAAATTGCAAATGGGAAAATGATGAAACAAAAAAAAAACAAAAATTGTAGAATCCAAAAAAGAAAAACTATGAAATGAAAATATTGAAAAACCGAATTGTGAAAATAAAGAAAATGAAAAAACGAAATCAAATATTGCAAAGTTTAGAAATTGAAGAGACAGAAAAAAGAAAAATCGAAAACTCTCAAATCACAAAAAAATATATAAAATAGAAACCTTGAAAAATTGAATCATTGAAAAAATAAAGAAAAAAAATTAAACGAAAACAATTTTTATAATTTTTCAAGGAAGTGGAATTTGTTGGGCTGCACTTCAGGGGCGAGGGAAATTCGGTCGAAATAACCATCGACCAATTTAATAACTGGATCGTTTGCATTTTTTACCACAAAAATCGCCCACAACCAATATTCTAAAATAAATAATAAAAAATTTATTGAGTAAAATAGATGAAGAATTAATATTTCTTTATGAAAATCGAGTCTTTTTGTTACAAATCCCGAAGTGACAGATCAAGCACTTTTTGCAGGAAATAGACAATTATAATAAAATACACCCAATGGTACATTTAAAAAAATGAATTTTTTGCCTGTGGGTTTACCGCTAAAAATAAAAAGGCTAGGTACAAAGTTGTATCAAATAAAAAAGCATTTAATTTTATAAAGTAATTTATTGCAAATAATTTCAGTAACATTGTGTGTTCATTTATAATAATGAAAATGTGTGACAGTGGTTTAGGAACAACTAGTATGTTTTGTTAATATTAGCTTCATGCTTGTACATCAGTGCCACCTAGCGGCTGCGCGGTTGAACAGTGGTTTGCGTTCTATGTGATGTGTAGGTCCTGGGCTTGGGGTGATCGATCGTTCCATCCAGGCATCCACCCATTGGCTAGGGGAAAAACTAGAAATCTGGACTGGAGGAAACGCTACATGTTGTCGTTTTGTGGAGTAAACACAAAAAAAATCCAACGTTTTATGCTACAATTGAAGTTCTGTTGGAAACCCCTATGTGGAGGTTATGGAGTAGGTGTGAACTTGATGATTCAGCGGGATTTGTACTATACCTAAGAGAAAGTTACGTGGAGGAGCCATTGGACGGTTGAGTCAAGACAGGATCGATTTATACTATATACAATATCTTTTAAACGAGAGAACAAGGCAACGTTATGTTCTAAGGTATGCAACCAATATTACAGATCTAACAAATAAATATGTATAAGATATTGAGTAAACTAAATTTGTAATTTTTAAGTAAGTGAGCTATCACAGGTGGCGTGAGGTTACCAACATGTTATCTTCGCAATATTCAGGTTTAGGTTTATCGGATTAAATATATTGATAGATATTTAAGACCCCGGGTTAGCAACTTATTTTTATAATAAATTGCACGGCCTACTAGAGGAGTTTTTTCGACCATCTGTCAAAACAGCTGGATTATATTATTATTTATTTTTATAAAAGTACATGTAGTACTTAAAGGGAAGCATCACGATAATTTTAGTTTCTTTTTTCCAGATATTTAGCCAAAACTGGTCAATTATACACCTACGATGCAATATAATAAAAACTGTAAGTTTGCGATATATTTTTTTTTATTTACAATTGATTTACAGATTTTCCTTTTAATTTATTGAAGAGTACTCATGATGGAACCGCATTTCCATCCGAAGATCCTGCATACTCTATAGAAAAGGTATAAAATTTTTAATCTGTAAAACCATTGTGATAACCCCCCGCCAAAATGAAAATCTTAGCTTTTCGATTTTAGGATTTCTCAGTTTTTCGATGTTTGTTTTGGAGTTCTTGCATTTTTTAATTTTTTATTGTCAATTTTTTTAGGATTCACTGTTATAATTTTTAGATTTGACAGTTTTTCGTGTTTTCGATTTTTCCATTTTAAGATACTTTTATTTTCTGATTTTTCAGTTGTTTTTTATTGTTCAATGTTTCAATTTTTTCAATTTTTCAGTTTCCGATTTTTTATAATTTTGCAGTTTTACGATGTTTGTTTTGACATTCTTCAACTTTGGAATTTTACAATTTGTCGATTTTTCTATTTCTAGAAAATTTTGTTTTCCGCATTTTTCTATTTCTCTATTTTTAATTAATCAGTTTTTCGATTTTACAGTTTCTTTTTTCAATTTTACAAATTTTCAGTTGTTTTTTCAATAATGGAAGTTTTCAGTTTCTCAAGTTTTAAGATTACAATTTTTAAATTTGTCGATATTTCAAGTTTCGTTTTTTCAATTTTTGATTTTCAATTTTGCAGTTGTTTTTCTGTTTTTTAAATTCTCGGTTTTTTCTTTTTTAAGGTTACAATTTTTCCTTTTCCAATTGTTGACCTCTTAATTATTCCATTTTGGGTTTCTTTATTTTTGCAGTTCTTCGATTTCTCAGTTTTTAAATTGTTCGGTTAAAAATGAAAAATTGAGAAAATAAAAAATTAAAAATAAAGTACTTCCCAGTAGGTAATTCCAAATTGTTTTGTTTCTTCGATTTTTCGATTTCTCAATTTGAGATTTTTATATTGTTCGTTTTTTTTTAAATGATAATTTTTCGATTTTTCCGTGTTTCGATTTCTCCATTTTTTAGTTTTTTAATTTTCACTATAAATTGTTGCATTTTTCAGTAAAATTTTTGTATTTTTCGATTTTTTAATTTTTAGATATTTTAATTTTTCGATTTTCTAATTTGCATTTTAATTTTTCGATTTTCTATTTGTTGAATTTTACAATTTTTCGTTTTTTCGATTTTTCAATTCCTAGATTTTTAATTTATCACTTTTTCAGGTTTCAGTGTTACAAATTTTCGATTTTACAGTTTCTATCTTTTTCTCAGTTGTTCCATTTTTAATTGGTTTTTCGTTACCCAATTTTCTGCCGATTTTTTCAATTTTTCGATATTTCAAGTTTGGTTTTTCAATTTTTGATTTTCAATTTTTCCATTTTTAATTTTTTTTTCAAATTTACAATTTTGTAATTGCTTCATTTTTAAATTTGCCGATTTTTAATTTTTCCCTTTTTTCAAATAATTATTACGGTTTTGATTATTCAATTTTTGGCTTTTCCATTTTCCGATTTTCTCAACTTTTCAATTTTTCGGTTTTTCAGTGTTTCGTTTTTTCGATGTTACAATTTTTTAATTTTTCCATGTTTCGTTTTTACAATTTCTTAATTTTTTAATTTCCCGGTTTTCATTTTAAAATTTTTGAATTTTGAAATAATTTCTTTTCGTTTGTATTTTTGATTGTTTAAATTTATAGAAGTTTTTGTTTTTGGTTTTTTCAATTTTTCACTTTCTCGATTTTTAATTAATTAGGGCTTTCAGGTTTCAATATTACAATTTTTCGATTGTTCAATTTCTCAATTTTTAAATTTTTCGATATTTCCAGTTTCATTTTTCAGTTTTTAAGTCTCATTTTTTCGGTTTTTTCAAGTTTTCTTTATTATTTCAATTCTTCGATTTCTCACTGTTTTGATTTTTCAATTCAATTAAGAATTTCGGTTTGAATAAATTTGTCCTTTTGTTGAACAATTATAAAATGACAAATCGAGATAATAATGAAATAAAAATCGAGAATTTGATAAATTTTATATCAAAAATTGCAGAATTGTTTGTTTTTGTCGATTTTTCAATTTCTCGATTTTTAATTGTTTTTGTTTTTTTTTTGTTTCAGTGTTACAATTTTCCGATTTTTAAAAAGTTCAGTTTGAATACATTTGTCCTTTGTTGAACAATTATAAAATGACAAATCGAGAATTTGAAAAATTTTATATTGAAAAATTGCAAAATTGCTTCGTTTTGTGGAGTTTTCAATTTCTCGATTTTTAATTAATCGGGGTTTTGAGGTTTCAATATTAGTTTTTCGATTTTCCGATTTTTCGATGTTTCAAGTTTCATTTTAAAATCTTGGATTTTGAAACTAATTTTTTTTGTATTTTTGATTATTTAATTTATAGAAATTTTTGTTTTTCGTTTTTTCAATTTTTCAATTTCTCGATTTTTAATTAATCAGGGTTTTCAGGTTTCTATATTACAATTTTTCGATTGTTCAATTTCTCAATTTTTTCATTTTTTGATATTGTAATTTTTAAATTTTTCGATATTTCCAAGTTCATTTTTCAGTTTTTAAGTCTCATTTTTTCGGTTTTTTCAAGTTTTCTTTATTATTTCAATTCTCCGATTTCTCACTGTTTTGATTTATCAATTCAATTAAGAATTTCGGTTTGAATAAATTTGTCCTTTTGTTGAACAATTATAAAATAACAAATCGAGATAATAAAGAAATAAAAATCGAGAATTTGATAAATTTTATATCAAAAAATTGCAGAATTGTTTCTTTTTGTCGATTTTTCAATTTCTCGATTTTTAATTGTTTTTGTTTTTTTTTTGTTTCAGTGTTACAATTTTCCGGTTTATAAAAAGTTCAGTTTGAATAAATTTGTCTTTTGTTGAACAATTAAAAAATGAAAAATCGAGAATTTGAAAAATTTTATATTGAAAAATTGCAAAATTGCTTCGTTTTGTGGAGTTTTCAATTTCTCGATTTTTAATTAATCGGGGTTTTGAGGTTTCAATATTAGTTTTTCGATTTTCCGATTTTTCGATGTTTCAAGTTTCATTTTAAAATCTTGGATTTTGAAATTAATTTTTTTTGTATTCTTGATTATTTAATTTATAGAAATTTTTGTTTTTCGTTTTTTCAATTTTTCAATTTCTCCATTTTTAATTAATCAGGGTTTTCAGGTTTCTATATTACAATTTTTCGATTGTTCAATTTCTCAATTTTTTCATTTTTCGATTTTGTAATTTTTAAATTTTTCGGTATTTCCAGTTTCATTTTACAGTTTTTAAGTCTCATTTTTTCGTTTTTTTCAAGTTTTCTTTATTATTTCAATTCTTCGATTTCTCACTGTTTTGATTTTTCAATTCAATTAAGAATTTCGGTTTGAATAAATTTGTCCTTTTGTTGAACAATTATAAAATGACAAATCGAGATAATAAAGAAATAAAAATCGAGAATTTGATAAATTTTATATCGAAAAATTGCAGAATTGTTTCTTTTTGTCGATTTTTCAATTTCTCGATTTTTAATTGTTTTTGTTTTTTTTTGTTTCAGTGTTACAATTTTCCGATTTTTAAAAAGTTCAGTTTGAATAAATTTGTCCTTTGTTGAACAATTATAAAATGACAAATCGAGATAATAAAGAAATAAAAATCGAGATTTTGAAAAATTTTATATTGAAAAATTGCAGAATTGCTTCGTTTTGTCGAGTTTTCAATTTCTCGATTTTTAATTAATCGGGGTTTTGAAGTTTCAATATTAATTTTTCGATTTTCCGATTTTTCGATGTTTCAAGTTTCATTTTAAAATCTTGGATTTTGAAATTAAATTTTTTTGTATTTTTGATTATTTAATTTATAGAAATTTTTGTGTTTCGTTTTTTCAATTTTTCAATTTCTCGATTTTTAATTAATCAGGGTTTTCAGGTTTCTATATTACAATTTTTCGATTGTTCAATTTCTCAATTTTTTCATTTTTCGATTTTGTAATTTTTAAATTTTTCGATATTTCCAGTTTCATTTTTCAGTTTTTAAGTCTCATTTTTTCGGTTTTTTCAAGTTTTCTTTATTATTTCAATTCTTCGATTTCTCAATGTTTTGATTTTTCAATTCAATTAAGAATTTCGGTTTGAATAAATTTGTCCTTTTGTTGAACAATTATAAAATGACAAATCGAGATAATAAAGAAATAAAAATCGAGAATTTGATAAATTTTGTATCGAAAAATTGCAAAATTGTTTCTTTTTGTCGATTTTTCAATTTCTGGATTTTTAATTGTTTTTGTTTTCTTTTTGTTTCAGGGTTACAATTTTCCGGTTTTTAAAAAGTTCAGTTTGAATAAATTTGTTCTTTGTTGAACAATTAAAAATGAAAAATCGAGAATTTGATAAATTTTATATCGAAAAATTGCAGATTTGTTTCTTTTTGTCGATTTTTCAATTTCTGGATTTTTAATTGTTTTTGTTTTTTTTTTGTTTCAGTGTTACAATTTTCCGGTTTTTAAAAAGTTCAGGTTGAATAAATTTGTCCTTTGTTGAACAATTATAAAATGACAAATCGAGATAATAAAGAAATAAAAATCGAGAATTTGATAAATTTTATATCGAAAAATTGCAGAATTCTTCCTTTTTGGCGATTTTTCAATTTCTCGATTTTTTTCAGTGTTACAATTTTCCGGTTTATAAAAAGTTCAGTTTGAATAAATTTGTCTTTTGTTGAACAATTAAAAAATGAAAAATCGAGAATTTGAAAAATTTTATATTGAAAAATTGCAGAATTACTTCGTTTTGTCGAGTTTTCAATTTCTCGATTTTTAATTAATCGGGGTTTTGAGGTTTCAATATTAGTTTTTCGATTTTCCGATTTTTCGATGTTTCAAGTTTCGTTTTAAAATCTCGGATTTTGAAATTAAATTTTTTTGTATTTTTGATTATTTAATTTGTAGAAATTTTTGTTTTTCGTTTTTTCAATTTTTCAATTTCTCGATTTTTAATTAATCAGGGTTTTCAGGTTTCAATTTCTCAATTTTTTCATTTTTCGATTTTGTAATTTTTAAATTTTTAGATATTTCCAGTTTCATTTTTCAGTTTTTAAGTCTCATTTTTTCGGTTTTTTCAAGTTTTCTTTATTATTTCAATTCTTTGATTTCTCACTGTTTTGATTTTTCAATTCAATTAAGAATTTCGGTTTGAATAAATTTGTCCTTTTGTTGAACAATTATAAAATGACAAATCGAGATAATAAAGAAATAAAAATCGAGAATTTGATAAATTTTATATCGAAAAATTGCAGAATTGTTTCTTTTTGTCGATTTTTCAAGTTCTCGATTTTTAATTGTTTTTGTTTTTTTTTGTTTCAGTGTTACAATTTTCCGATTTTTAAAAAGTTCAGTTCAAAGTTTTATAAAATGACAAATCGAGATAATAAAGAAATAAAAATCGAGAATTTGATAAATTTTATATCGAAAAATTGCAGAATTCTTTCTTTTTGTCGAGTTTCAATTTCTCGTTTTTTAATTGTTTTTGTTTTTTTTGTTTCAGTGTTACAATTTTCCGGTTTATAAAAAGTTCAGTTTGAATAAATTTGTCCTTTGTTGAACAATTAAAAAATGAAAAATCGAGAATTTGAAAAATTTTATATTGAAAAATTACAAAATTGCTTCGTTTTGTGGAGTTTTCAATTTCTCGATTTTTAATTAATCGGGGTTTTGAGGTTTCAATATTAGTTTTTCGATTTTCCGATTTTTCGATGTTTCAAGTTTCATTTCAAAATCTTGGATTTTGAAATTATATTTATTTGTATTTTTGATTATTAAATTTAATTTTTTCATTTTTTCAGTTTTTCAATTTCCCGATTTTTAATTAATCAGGGTTTTCAGGATTCTATATTACAGTTTTTCGATTGTTCAATTTCTCAATTTTTTCATTTTTCGTTTTTGTAATTTTTAAATTTTTCGATATTTCCAGTTTCATTTTTCAGTTTTTAAGTCAAATTTTTTCGGTTTTTTTCAAGTTTTCTTTATTATTTCAATTCTTCGATTTCTCACTGTTTTGATTTTTCAATTCAATTAAAAATTTCGCTTTGAATGAATTTGTCCTTTTGTTGAACAATTATAAAATGACAAATCGATATAATAAAGAAATAAAAATCGAGAATTTGATAAATTTTATATCGAAAAATTGCAGAATTGTTTCTTTTTGTCGATTTTTCAAGTTCTCGATTTTTAATTGTTTTTGTTTTTTTTTGTTTCAGTGTTACAATTTTCCGATTTTTAAAAAGTTCAGTTTGAATAAATTTGTCCTTTGTTGATCAATTATAAAATGACAAATCGAGATAATAAAGAAATAAAAATCGAAAATTTGATAAATTTTATATCGAAAAATTGCAGAATTCTTTCTTTTTGTCGATTTTTCAATTTCTCGTTTTTTCATTGTTTTTGTTTTTTTTTTGTTTCAGTGTTACAATTTTCCGGTTTATAAAAAGTTCAGTTTGAATAAATTTGTCGTTTGTTGAACAATTAAAAAATGAAAAATCGAGAATTTGAAAAATTGTATATTGAAAAATTGCAGAATTGGTTCGTTTTGTCGATTTTTCAATTTCTCGATTTTTAGTTAGTCAGGGTTTTGAGGTTTCAATATTAGTTTTTCGATTTTCCGATTTTTCGATGTTTCAAGTTTCATTTTTAAATTTTTGATTCTCATTTTTTCGGTTTTTTCAATTTTTCTTTATTTCTTCAATTCTTTCACTTCTCAATTTTTAAGTTTTTGATATTTTAATTTTATAATTTTTAGACGTTTCATTGTCACAATTTTCTGGTTTTTAAATTTTTCAAAATTTCGGTTTGAATAAATTTGTCTTTTTGTTGAACAATTAGAAAACGAAAATTGGACAATTTGAAAAATATGATATCGAAAAATTGCAGAATTGTTACCTTTTGTCGATTTTTCAATTTCTCGATTTTTAATTGTTGCATTTTTTAAAGTTTCGGTGTTACAGTTATTCGATTTTGCAAAATTTTATCTTGATTAAAATTGAAAAACTTGCAAAATTGTTTCGTTTTTCGATTTTTTGATCTTTCGATTTCGGATTTTTTTATTTTTTCGTTTTTCCAACTTTTCAGTTACCGATTTTGCAGTTTTATTTTCAATTTTTCGGTGTCTCGATTTTTTAGTTTCTTTTTAAAATTTTTGGAATCTTCATTGTTTCAATAATACAATTTTCCAATTTTTCAATATTTTAGTTTGGAAAAATTTTTTCTTTTGCAATCAATTGACGTTCTTTTATTACGTTTCAGAATTTTGGGAAACGACCCAGAACCATGGAGCCGGGTGCGGAGTATAATACCATGATTACTGCGAACATCGCACTTAACATGATAAGCATGGACGAAGTAAAAAACTTCCACATATCGCCAAACCATGAACATTTTGGCAATTTTAACAACATAGTCATTGAAGTTGGGACAGAGCAAATCGAGACAACAGTTCAATTAAAATACAACAGTGGAGAAGATTTTAGCCTACTTAAATATTTTAAGTCATTCCAAGAAATAGAAAACAAACCAGAACAACTTATCTTACTCACAAACCTTAAAATGAATCTCGGAAGCACGAAAATTCAGCTCGACACAGGAGAATATTCCGTAGAACATTACGACGTAAAAATTGCAGATAATAATTGTTTCAAAATGTCACAGCGTACAACATGTTACAAATTTCGTATTATAGAAGACCAAAACAGCAGAAACGAATTTTCAAAAGTCCAACAGTTCGAGACTTTTCTCGAACGCTTTACTCTTTACACCAACCAAGAGGATATGGCGGAAGTCGAAAAATCAACAGCGAGTAAATTCGTGAAGATGTTCTCTTCCGATGGAGAAACTTTCGAAAAATATGTCAAAATTTTGTCTGAGTGGGACGTGCCACAAAGATTAGACAAAAAGATGGTGCAGCGGGTAGTTGCACTTTGTCTGCTGTCTCCCTACGTGGAAAATCGCACTTTTGGCGCAGTCAGCGACAAAGGGAAAATTCTTCTACAAGCAACGTGTCTTTTTGATATTACGTTATTGGAAAAAGGGGGAGAATCCGACGGGACGAGTGACTTGGAGTTGGTACAATTGTTACAATTGATGGAGAAACGTCCCCTGGTGGTAAAAGAGCACGAAAATATCGAAAAAGGGGTTCAGATGTGTCCCGATTCGAAATTTGTTATAGTTGGTGAAGGGAAACGTCGACAATGGATGAAACATAGTTTGGTGTTTCAGAACTTGTTCGACTTGAAGTTGAAACACGAATTAGTGTATGAAAAGGTGATGGAAGCGTTTGGGGTTTCTTTGCAAGGGAAAGCGGTCCTTACTCTGTCGGAGGCGTGCAGAGGAAGTGACGATATTTTAAAAAATATAACAGTCGGCAATCTCGTGGAAATGATAGACAATCCGGGGTTAATTGGTGGGAACAAGGAAACTCTTCCAGATCCTTATATTCAAAGGTATTTGTCGGCGGATGTTATTGATACTAAATATCTAGACACTGTTTATAGCAATTGTGTATTTATTGTAAATTGCGCAGATAGTTCTAGAGTCATAGATAAACCTAAACACCATACCTTGACAGATATAGACGACTATTTAAACCAACCAGACTGGGCAACTTCTAACATGGCAGTTGTAATAGTTAGTAAAAATAACTGTAGCCAATCTGAATTTGACAAAGTATGCTCCAAAGCAAGAGAATCGCACACGGTTCATTATTTTAAGTTCCTGGGTGACAATAGTTTGGAATGGGTTGGAAGCAGGGGCGAAGTCGACGAACTGCAAAAATTTAAACTGGGTTGTCGTTGTAAACACGAAAACGAATTTTGGGCTTTCAAGTTCACGAAACGGATCAATTTAGTGTTGGGTGATTCGGGGATAGGGAAAACTGAATTAATAAAAAACTTAAAAAACAACTGCTCTTCTAAATACTGGACTGTAATTGTTAGCCCTCAAGACGCTAATTTATTTTTTAAAGAATCACAAAAGTGTGACGCGTCTGACTACCTAAATTTATTTCAGACATTCATTTTGAAAAAGTATCATTATCTTGGAAAGTTAGACAAAGAGTTTTTTAAACTGTGTTGTGAGGAATTCCGTGTTTGCTACGTCTGGGATGCTGTTGACGAAGTGTCTGCTAAGTATTTGGAAGACGTGGCAGACTTGATTGTTCTGCTATCAAATCGTGGTTTCATGCAGTGGGTTACTGCTAGAAAACACTTGAAGTCGTTACTGGAAAAAAAATTCAACACACTTTCGTTGGGTATAAGTCGGTTTGAAGAGTCGGAGGAAGACGATTACATTAGAAAACGTCTAAGTCCTATTATTTCGGACACAGAAAGTGTGATTCGAAAAGTTAAATCTAGTTTTGCTTTGATCGAACATGTGGATATTGCAGGAATTCCACTCCAGATGTTTATGCTCACAGAATTAGTTCGTCTAAATCGTGACAAATATTTAAAATTATTTAACAATTCTTGGCGCTTAACTGATTTGTATTATTGCTTTATTGACATTCAAAATAAATCAGTTACCGATAAAGAAAACCATGAACGACTTGCCGTTGACTTATTATTTTCAGACTGTGCGAATCTTAACACACCCGTTTTTTTGCACGCGTCTTTTGCGGAATATTTGGCTGCGGCCTACTTTTCCAAGAATGTTGAGCTTATACCCGATAGATTTTTCGAGCCGAAGTATGACAACGTGCGATTTTTCTTCGACATGTTGTTGGCAAAACCAGTCCATGTTGCAGTTTTGTACCGACATTTTGATACTTTGAAGAGCTATGACGACGAAATGTTGACTAGTAAAGATGGCGGTGGAAGAAGTGCCTTACACTTGATTTGCTCCTGGGGACGACGACATTCCCGCCTGAATGTAACGACTTCCAAAATAGGAAATATTTTTTCGCGTTTTGCTTCTGTCTTGCGTGGAAAACTTTCCTCTGCCAAAAGAAACCCTAGTGAGAAGTATACTCTGGATGATGGCGACGAAACTTCTGAAGAGGAATTAGAAACACGAGATTATTTAGATGGAGTGGTTTACTTGTTGAATAAATGTGGCACTTCTGAGCCGGATGGGCTATTTCAAATGACTCCTTTGTCGTATGCCAGAGTTAGTGAAAGTTTAGGGGCGGAACTGGAATTGTTGCAGTCAGGATTGTTACAACCAGAGCAGGAATACAATCAATGTGATAGAATTAACATTTTGTACTATTGTAGTCTGTATGGTTATGACAATACGATTCAAATGGTTGTTACTAAGGAATTACCAACTCTTTGCCAGGAGGTAAATTGTAGTACTAAGTCTGGTTGCACCCCTCTTGCTCTAGCGTCGTCAAGAGGGCACACAGCAGTCGCTCAGTATTTGTTACAATGCCAAGCCGAAGTCAATCACCCTGATAAACATGGTCAAACCCCACTTCACTCGGCTTGTTCGAACGACCATGAAGAAAGTGCTAAATGCTTAATCAAGTTCGGAGCTGCACTCAATCACCCTGATATTGTCGACTGGACACCACTTTACGTAGCTTGTTTGAACGGCCACCAAAAAACTACCCAGTTCTTAATACAATCCGGTGTAGACATAAATCGCCCTGACGAAAACGGTTGGACACCTCTTCACACAGCTTCTTCCAACGGCCATAAAGAAATTGTCGAACGTCTAGTGAAATCCGGGGCCGAAATCAATCGTGGTAATAGCTTCGGTTTGACACCTCTTCACTACGCTTCCTTGAATGGCCACGAAAACACCGTCCAGTACTTGGTGGAATCGGGAGCCGAAATCAACTGCGCTGCTAATGATGGTTGGACACCACTTTCCTGGGCTTCTGGGAACGGCCACGAAAAAGTCGTCGAATACCTGGCAAAAAGCGGAGCCAATGTCAATAGCCTCGATAGCGACGGTCGGACACCACTCTATGCAGCGTCCTGCTGGGGCCACAAGAAATCAGTTGAATGTTTAGCGCGATTCGGTGCAGAAACCAATCACCCTGCTAAAAACGGTTGGACACCGCTTTTCGCGGCTTCCTGGAACGGCGACGAAGAAGTCGTCGATTGTCTAGTGAACCTCGGAGCCGTAATCAACCTCACCAATCAAGACGGTCGGACAGCTCTTCACGCAGCTTCAAAAAACGGCCACGACAAAATCGTGGAAGGCTTAGTCAAACTGGGGGCAGAAATCGATGGCGCTGATGGGTATGGTTGGACACCGCTTTTCACGGCGCTGGAAAACGACCACGAAAGCACCGTTGAGTGCTTAGTGAGGCTCGGAGCCGACGTCAATCGTGCTGATGGTCATGGCAGGACGCCGATTTATGTTGCTTCGTGTTACGGCCACGAAAAGTCTGTCAGATGCTTGGTCAAATTCGGGGCCGGAGTCAATCGCGGTAATGACAAAGGTCGGACACCGATTTATGCGGCTGCAAGGAATGGGCACGAGAAAACCGTGGAGTGTTTGGTGGAATTGGGGGCCGAAGTCAACCGGTGTGATGGTCGTGGCCGAACGCCGTTTTACGTAGCTGCAAGAAACGGGCACGAGAAAACTGTGGAATGTTTGGTGAAATTGGGGGCAGAAAGTTGTCATGTTGATACTGATGATTGATACTGTTTAAATTAATAGCAATAAAAATGAATATCTGCTAGGAGCTAGCTTAGATATTAATTTAGATTTTTGCCACAGTTCAGTTTTTATTTTTTTTTCCTTTACTTGATTAGAACTATCTGCGGCAACCAAATTTGAACGTTGTAGACAATGATACCATGACAACTTGTTATCTTTGATTAAAAGTGGAAATGTTAAAAACTTTAAGTACACAAACTAATTTGTATTGCGATAACTTGCAGTTTTATTTTACACTGACAATAATTATAATCGTGGCCATGAAAACATTTCCATTCTTAACAATTATCTGAAAATATTTTGAATTGTAAATAAAATTCGCAGTGTTTGCATACTTTTGTAGGTTTCTTGATTGTAAATTAATTTCTGTATGTAATGTCTCTACTATTTTTGACTATAATAAAGTGAATTAAATTAGTTCTTTATTTGCACACAGGTCTTCGGTCTTGGATTACACATTTTACTCAAATTGAAAATATAATCAACGTCACTCTTGGTTTGTGATAATTTTGTCCATTCCTTTAAAAAATGAACTGAAAGGAATTAACCGAAAACACTCAGCTTAGCTTGTACTCTAGAAGCTAATTATGTAAACTTTCATTCAGGCTTCACATGATGTGCTCATGATCGAGGTACTTGCCAGTACGTAACCGATATATTTTTTTAAATGTGCAATTTTTAAAGAAGAAGTTTTCATTGGAATTGAAAATGAGATCAGGTAAATTAATAGCTACTTAACGAACAAGTTTGTTAATAAAGCTGATTAATAATCGAGATATTTTAACGCGCGAGGAAGGAGTTTTTAAATTTTTTCTTTTTCTCAATTTGAAATTTTTAGTTTTTGGATTTTTCAGTTTTTTTTGTTTTCAATTTTTCGTTTCTTCAATTTTTGATTTGCAGGTTTTCTAATTTTCATTTTAGATATGTAATAATAATTATAATTTTTATTAGAGTTGTTCACTTTTTCAATTTTTCGTTTTTGGAATTTTTTAATTTTTCGATCTTTGAATGTTTTTTTTGGACTTTACGAACATTTTTCGATTTAATTCGTTCTTTGATTCATTAATTTTTTCTCGATTTCTAGTTTTTCAATGTTTCTATTTTTCGTTTCTTCAGTTCTACAATTTTGTCAAATAAATGTTATATAAATTAAAAAAAAAGTAACAGTGTACCTATGGTCTATGAATCCGTGTTGAATTTTTATCTGCGACATCGAAATTTTTGTGGAAAAATAAAACAAAATTGAATTACAATTTTTCGATTTCTTGATTTCTCGATTTTTAGTTTACTTAATTTTTCGATATTTCAGTTTTACAATTTTTGCAATTTAAAAAAAAATCATTTTTACATTTCTCAATTTCTCTATTAATCAATTCTTTGATTTTTCGATTTTCCTCTTTCCAATTTATCGATTTTTCAGTTTTTCGATTTCTCAAGTTTTTGTTGTTCCAATTTTTTAATTTAAAATTTTTCGCTTTTTTGATATATCGATTTCTCGATTTTCCGATTTTTAAAATGTCTGATTTTTCGAATTTTGAATATTTTGATTTATCGTTTTTTTTAAGTTTAAATATGTATTTCAGTTTTAAATTTTCCGGTTTTTCGATTTCGGGCTATTTCGATTTCTCCATTTCTCGGATCTTTTGATGTCTCAATTTTTTAATTTCGATTTCTCGACTTTTCCGTTTTTCAATTTTTTATTTCTTCAAGTTTTTAGATTTTTAAAATTCTCCATTTTTCGATTTTATGTTTTGTTATGCTTCGACCTCCCGATTTTAACCTTTTTAACGTGTATTCCAATTTTTCGATTTTGGAATTTTCGATTTCTTACATTTCGATCTTTCGTTTTTTCGATTTTAAAACGTTTTTACTTTTCGTTCTTTTTTTCGATTCTGGATTTTTCAAGTTTTCGATTTCTCAATTTTTCAACATTTCAATTTTGAGAATGTCTATATTTTTCAGTTTTTTGATATTTTCATTTTTCAACTTTTTAATTTCGATTTTTCGACTTACCGGAAATCGATTTTTGGGTTTTCCAATTTTTCGACTTTTCAGTTTTGAGATTTTTCAATTTGTCGATTTTTTGGTTTTTCATTTCTTCAGTTTTTCGGTTTTTCAAGTTTTCGAATTTTTAAATTTAAAATTTTTCAATTTTTTTATTTTATTTTTTTACGTTCCGATTTCCCGATTTAAATTTTTTTTATCCTTTTCAATTTTTCTAAATTTTCATTTTTGCATTTCCCAATTTCTCGATTTTTCGAATTTTTGATTTTGTGTTTTTTTTTAAATGTTAAATTTTTCGTTATTGTAATTTTTCTATTTTTGAAATTTTAGATATTTAGATTTTTCGACATCTTGAATTCTCCATCTTTTTTCAGTTTGAATTCCTCGGTTTTTCGATTTTCCAAAATTTCGATTTTTCAATCTTTCGATTTTTGAAAATTTTCGATTTCTCGATTTTTCAGTTTTTGATTTTCCAACTTTTAGATGTTTCAAATTTTAGAGTTTGCAAATTTCACGAGTTTACAGTTTTTAATTTCGTCAATTTTTCGATTTGCAATTTTTCCTGTGGGTTTTTAATTTTCTTTATTTTTTCAATCTTCTGCTTTCAATTTTCCGTTTTTTTAATTTTTCATTTGCAGTTTTTCTAGTTTTCATTTTAATTATGTAACACTCCTAATAATTATAATTTTTAAAGTTGTTCACTTTTTCAGATTTTCGTTTTTAGAATTTTTCAATTTTTCGGTGTTTGAATGTCACAGTTTTTGGATTTTCCAATTTTTCAATTCGAATGGTTTTTCTTCTTTACCATTCTTCGATTCATTAATTTTTTTTAGATTTTTAAGTTTCTCGGTTTTTAGTTTTTCATTGTTTCAATTTTTCATTTTTTCGAGTTTTTAACTTTTTAACGAATAAACAAAATCGAAGAATTATAAAATAGAAAAATTGTAAAACTGAAAAAGTACAAGATGAAAGCTTCGAAATATAAAAAAATTGGAAATCAAGAACTTAAAAAATCAAAGATTGAAAATGTAAAAAAGTGAATTAACAAAAAACTATAAAATCCAAAGAAACATTCAAAAAATAAAGATAATGGAAAAATGAAAAATTGTGATATAAAATCGGGAAAATGAAAATATCGAAAATCTGAAAAATATAGAAATTGAAAAATTCCCAAAATTGCGATGTTTAAAATTGAGATAGCGAAAACTAAAAAATCGAGAAATCGAAAAATTTTTAAAATTGGAAAATTGAGATATGAGAAATCGAAAATTCCAAAAACGGAAAAATTGAAACACATTAAAAAATTAAAATCGGGAAATCGAAACATAAAGATTATAAAAGGGAAAAATGAAAAATTTTAAAAATCGAAAATTTAAAATATATATTAGAAAAATCGAAAATTTTGAAATTCGAAAAACGAAGAAATCGAAATCGAAAAATTGAGACTTCAAAATATCCAGAAATCGAAATAGGCCGAAATCGGAAAATTCAAAATTGAAATATTTACTTAAAAAAAGATAAACGGAAAAATCGAAAAACTCAAAAAAATCGATAAACCTAGATATGAGAAACAGAAAATTCCAAAAATCGAAAAATTGAAATACAGATTAAAAAGTTTAAAAAATCGAAGTTAAAAAATCGTAAAAACAAATTCCATTCGATTTCCGTTTTATCGATTTTGCAATTTTTTGTTTCTTCAATTTTTTCCAATTTTTTAATTTTCCGATTTTTCAATTTTTCGAATTTTCTACTTTCCGAATAAACAAAATGGAAAAGTTATAAAATAGAAAAATTGTAAAATTGAAAACTCGAAATGAAAAAACGCAAAAGTATAAAATGAAAGCTTCGAGAAATCTAATAACTTGAGAAATTGAAGAAACGGAAAATTCAAAAATCGAAAGAAACACGAAAATTATTGTAAAATCTAAATATTGAAAATTGGAAAATCGAGGAATTGAAAATGTGAAAAATTAAATAAACGAAAAATTGTGATATCAAATCCAGAAAATGAAAATTAAAAAATCGGGAAAATGGTATAAAAAAATGAAGAACTTGAAACAACATCATTACGCCGAATATGTTCATTACCTCAATTTAGTCCTTAATGATTCTGTTAAGAATGTACCAGGAATTTCCGCATTTTATGATTTAATAAATGCTATATACATCTATTTCAGTGAGAGTTTACCGAGATGGCAACAACAACAACAACATTGAGATGAAAGAAAATGATAAGTGTGTTATAAAAAAAGTTATGCCCCACCAGATGGTCATCGAGATTTGATTCTCTAATTGCCATTAGATATAATCTCTCAACAGTTATGAGCTGAAATTATTTTAACATCCAATAAGAAAAGTGAAATAGATGAAGCTGTAGCTCTTCGTAAAAAAATGGATTCATTTGAATTTGTTGCTCTATTAGTATTTCAATGCAAAATTTTAGAAAATGTTAATTTGGTCTCAAAAACTTTACAGAGTTCAAATATTACTTTAGATGAGGATCTAAAAGACAAATTTCAAAGTATACGTGACAATTTTGAACAAATAATGGAGGAATCAAGGAAATGTGCTGATACCTGGAAAATTAACAATTCTTTTTCAAATAAACGTATAAAAAAAGTGAAACTGTTTCATAACGAATTATGTGAAGATACCGTTTTCAAAGATCCCACTGAAAAATTTAAAACAACCGTTTTCTATCCTGCTCTTGATCTTTTAAATATTCAAATTAAAGATAGGTTTGAAAGCATGAAAAACGTCAGAAACTATTTTTCTTTTCTGGAACCACAGGAAATGTTGAATAGTACAGACGAAGAATTTGTGGAGGCAGCATCAAAGTTGGCAAATAAATACGAAGAAGATATTTCCAGTGCAATCTGTGGGAAAATCGTTAGTTTTAAAAACATTGTTGTTGGTGAAATTATTCAGCAAAAAATAACTAAAATTACAGATATTGCTAAGTTTCTGTTTATGGACAATAATTTTTTAACGGTAGAAAGATCTTTTTCTAACTTAAAATTAATTAAATCATATTTGCGAAGCACGATGAGTCAAA